TATATATATATATAAAATCCACTGAGGAAAATGTATGATCGAAACTGTATGATTATGGTAAAGTTTACTGCGTCTTTGGTTACAAGGTACACCAAAAGTATGCTAATTTTTGCAAAAGCGCTTTGGTATTGCTATTTTATTATATTATCGTTGCTGAACAACCGACCAGTCATCGCTGGTATTCAAACCGGGATAACCTCATTGAGAGGTGAGCACTCTATCCCCTGAGCCACCACAACTCTGGTAATAATATTGGTAAAATCAAGAATAAATATTTTTGCATAATATCATATGTGATAAAAGTTGGTAATTGTGATAAAATTCGGCGCCAATGCTGCTTTATTAATTTTAATAATGGTACCAGTATACTGTTAGAATTTTCATACTAAAATTACGGTAAAATAACCAACAGCAGTCTGTCCATCCAATTAAACGTAAAATTTACAGCAAGGAACATTTTTTACTTTTACTGTTTTTTAACCTTTTATAACAAACATTGTCTCAAAACCGTAAAAAAAAAGATTCCACTTTTTTGTGTGTATGGTGTTGCTATCCATGCGTGAGTGAAAGTATTCTAGTCTAATAATCCAGAGTCATAAATTGGGAAGTGCAGGTCACCGGAAACTCTTCAGGTGCAGGAAGGAATGGAGGAAATATTGTGGTGTCAAAGCTGGGATATGAACTCCCACTCTGTAGGTTTTGAAATCGACCAATTAGCCCTCTCGGCTGTAACAGGTATCCAGCTGCAAAGGAACTAAGTGACTTCATTACATGCGCCTATGATAAAATTTCGGCTGTTTAACCGCATGAGGTGAAAGCAGTTAATAAACCGTTTTTCTCACAGTTTACAGTTTGGTTATCATCTTAATTATGGCTATTTGACAGAGTTGTTCAAATAATTTAACATACCATTTAAATAAATTGTTATTTAACCATTTTTTCCGTAAATTTTCTTACAGTGTATTAATAGGTGTTTTTTTAATATGTACCAAATATACAAATATCAATATAAAGATATGTCTGTAGAAATAGGGTTCTACGGCTTCTGAATAGGTTATGCATTGCAGGAAAAATTGCTGATTGTGATATTTTTTGACAATCAGGTGTTGACCTCTAACAATAGCATTATGCGAAATCATACTAAGTGCTATTATTTTTATTTTGAAGGGATGATTAGATTCTAAAAGCATAATTTGCTGAATCTTATAGCATAAAATCTCTGTAAAATGCAACGAATAGCGAAATACAAAAAAAATGAAATTATTTTAGCTTAATTATGTCGTTATATGTCTTTCAGTTTTATGTATGATTTCGTTGTTGTTGTTGTTCATTTACGTCACACTAGAGCTGCACAATGGGCTATTGGTGACGGTCTGGGAGACATCCCTGAGGATGATCCGAAGACATTCCATCACAATTTTGATCCTCTGCAGAGGGGATGGCACCCCCGCTTCGGTAGCCCGACGACCTGTACGCGAAGTCAAGCACTTTACGATAGAACAGTTTAACGAGGACCAATACGGCACATCCTCGGTCCCTACGCAGGCTGATCCAAGTGGTCACCCACCCGCACACTGACCGTAGCCAGTGATGCTCGACTTCGGTGATCTGCTGGGAACCGTGTCTTAACGATCAGTCCACTGCGGGACTACAAAATTTGAACAAAACGCAATAAAGCAGTAATACAGGGCGAAGGTCAAATGCTGACCTGCTTAGCAGTTACAGAAAGGAGTGAAGGTCTCTTAATTTCTTTACAGACACTTTGGTTCAAAGTCTCTCTTGATCTCTTTGCTAGGCTCAGTTCCAGTAATTGGTCTTATGCTGGATACTTTTTACGGCTCTCTTATGAGACACACAGGATTTGCTTGTGGCTCTATGGTTGGTTTTTAGGTTTGAGCCAAGCCGCAGGTTGGCTTCGTAGCAATTAATGCATTTACTTTTCCCCTGACAGGAGTCAGCTCGGTGTCCTGTGCCGTCGCAGTTTGAGCAGGTCTCAGGATTGTCGCAATCTCTGGCCATATGGCCAAGACGATTGCACTTGTAGCACCTGAGCGAGCGTAGGTACTCGCCGTATTTATAGCTCTCCCAACAGATTGATACGGCCTCACGTCTCATGATGCCTTTGAAGCTCTTCGGCTCAAGCGTCACGACCCAGTGCTGTCCTCGTTTAGTTTTTATTGGAAATGTGACCTCAAATTCTCCCCCTTTAAAGAGGTCGTTGCACTAAGTTGTTTGGCGAGNTTTTTTTGTTTAGTACTTGTACTTTTACTTGTACTTTTTACTCGTTACTTTTTAAAATAAGAACTTTTTACTTTTTACTCGTTACTTTTTTTAAAAATACTTGTACTTTTACTCGTTACTTTTTAAAAGTAACGTTGCCATATATGGTAACAGGTATCCAGCTGCAAAGGAACTAAGTGACTTCATTAGATGCGCCTATGGTTAGTGCGATAAAATTTTGGCTGTTTAACCATATTAGGTGAAAGCAGTTAATAAACCGTTTTTCTCACAGTTTGCAGTTTGATTATCATCTTAATTATGGTTATTTGACTGAGTTGCTCAAATAATTTAAAATACCATTTAAATAAATTGTTATTTAACCATTTTTTCCGTAAATTTTCTTACAGTGTATTAATAGGTGTTTTTTAATAAGTACTAAATATACAAATATAAATATATAAAGACATGTCTGTGGAAATAGGATTTTACGGCTTCTAAATAGGTTATGAATTGCAGAAAAATTGTTGATTGTGATATTTTTTGACAATCAGGTGTTGATCTCTAACAACAGCATTATGCCAAATCATACTGAATGTAATTATTTTTATTTTAAAGGGATGATTAGATTCTAAAAGCATAATTTGCTCAATCTTATAGCATAAAATCTCTGTAAAATGCAACGAATAGCAAAATACAAAAAAATTAAATTGTTTTAGCTTAATTATGTTGTTATATGTCTTTCAGTTTTATGTACGATTTCGTAGTGTTGATTAATACTGATTTATTAGTTATTTACTTTTTTTCACTCCGTCCAGCTAGTCAACAGTAAAAATAAAAAAAAGTGATTTTACAACATCAGACGAAATTTGGTAATTTTTTTGGATTTTAGTTCCAGAATTATGATTTTTCCCCACCAGAAATGTTATTACTATATAGTACGGTAATTTTACCAGAATTTTTTTTTCTCCATACAGAAACTAAGTGTTATTAACAAACAATAAATCATGATTCTTTCAATCTGGGAATTTTAATTTAATCCTTTTAACACAATTATTTTCCTTTTTCTGCTTAGGTGAATGTGGTAATATCACACAAAAAGAGTTCACTACATTTTTGCAATAGAAATGAAGAATGTCCAGAACACATACCTTGCTGTATTAACGTGGCTCGTAAAGGCGCTGCTATATCAGATTATTGCAAATTTCTGATATTTCGTGGTAAGTATGTCTTTTAAATATAAAATAAAAAATAATTTTTTAAATTTTTCATAACACATAAACTCTAAGCTTAAAATAGTTTGTTTATCTTTTGTTAAATATTAGCGCATTCTTAGTTCGATTACAGCACAATTTTATGGTTTGAGCTTAAAGTTCGAAATCCGTTCATATTTTTCCATTGGATTAACTTTTTTTTTCATTTTACAGGTGAAATGTGTGTGTCACAAAATCATGTGTGTTGTTCAAATCGAGATGTAAGTATTTTACAAATTTAGTATTAGTACAAAATAATTTATATATTGCATCGATATGTTATGGTAAAAAATAAATAAACCTTAATAAATATGATTTTTTTTGCATAATATAGGCAATGAGAAAATAAAGTATGTAAAACTATTAGAATACGTTGAAATGTACCATGTTTCTGGCACTATAGGAACGCCAAAAATCTTGGTAATTTTTAACGAAACGCTTTCGTAATAATTTTGGTAATATTGGTTTATAATAAGTGTTCGGTAAATGTGGTATAATTTATTAACTTTAACACAATACCTTAGAGCAAAGCAAAAAATTCATTTATTTGGTTAAGTTTACTTTTCCATTTTGTATTTCTTACTAAATGTGTGGCAATAAGAACTATAATTTTGAAAACCGGAATTTCCGTTAAAATGTTACTATATAAACAGAAAATTTTTCAAATTAATAATCTAGGTATCGTATATTTTGATTTTTATTACTAGTATAATGGTTTAGTTTCACCAAAAATGTCATTATCATACACTATTGTTCCTATATGAACAGAAAAATTACCAATTAAATGGCGTAAGTACCAAAAAATCATGCGAAGTTTTCCTCTTTATGTAGCGCAAATGCTGGTTAGTTCCAACAAAAATTCCTCCATGAAGGCAAATTTCGATCAATACTTGATCCAGTTATCTTGTCTTCTAGATTGGGTTAAAAATTACAAGGCTAAGGAGTTGAACATTAGTAGTCATTAGCCCAAAAATTTTGTCGACTTTTCAACGACGGTTATGAAATAAAATAAAATAACACGATAAGAATAACAAAGCACAGTTTTATAATTTATCTAGCCTAATTCAAAATCTGTCTAACAGCATCACTATCCACTCTAAAAATATTGATCTTATTGCACTTTAAGATTTTATATGTTCTGATAGTAAAAAGTAGATCTTGCCATTTTGAAATTTGACACTGTAACCGAAAACAGTTAGATTTGGATAAGGATTTTTAACACCATTCTTGAGCTTTCGCTTATCATCTAGTATACAATACATTCCTCCTACGGCTGTTATTAGACATTTTCCAATATAGATTAATATTTGCAACAAAAAAAAAACACGCAAAATTTCAATAATTTTTGAAAAATTAAAATTTAGAAAAAAATAAAAAAAAATCTGTGTTATGTTTATAAACAAATGACTTTTTCAGCACACCAAATTTAAAATTTGAAGTTGCATTTATGCGGCATGCAGAGTAACCCGTATGGTGTTTTTTTTCTACAAATTTAGCAGCTAATTTCTAACTAATTTTTGAATGTACATTTTTTGACAGACCTGTGTTATTTTACGCGTAGTTTCATAGTTTTTGAGCACTGTTTGCAAGTTGAAAATTCAAAACAGCCGTGTGCGACGTCCTTACGGTTTTTTAATAAAGAAATATTTTAAAGAAAGCAATTTAATGTTGTCGGATGGTTCTGGAGCTTTGGACATAAAAAATTCGATTGCTCAGAAATTATTCAATCGATTTTGTCCAGTAGTTTCCGAGAAAAAAAAATTTTGTATTTCAAAGACATGTGTTGGAAGGGAGTTTAAAAATATGAATTTAAAATTTTATTACTTTTATAGATCCAGCATATTATAAAACTTTTTAAGTAAATTGACTTTTTGTTGCAGACAATTATAAAATTCCAAAGGAAATTCCATGGAAATATATTTTTTTTAATAATTATTCATTATTTTTCGTATGCATTTTAAATAAGTTGTTTAACAAAATGCAAAATTGCAAGAATGAATAATAAGTTTTGTATAAGTTGAAAAGAATGATGAATTATATGGCTTACAAACGTTAGAATATTTTTATGGAAATCAATTTAATACGGCAAAGTATAAACTTTTAACTAAATCTGTCGAATAGCTCCTTGGAAATCAAATTTTAAAACAGTTTTTGTTTTAAAATTTGATTTTTCACAAATTATTTGACCAATTTCTCAGAGAAAAAATATTTCATAGACACAGAAGGATAGAGATTTAAAAAAGTATAATTTAAAATTTATTATTTTTTCAGGTCCAGCAGAAAATATATGAAAAAAGGAAACGCTCGATATTGCCGGAGAGTGAGAGTCATGCAGATTATACCAGTTCAGAATATGATTCTACTACAGATTACACTGATTATACATCTTCAACTTTAACTTTTACCCCACCTACGTTCGTCCCATACAGTGAAGAAAGGAACTTCCTGAAGATAGCATCTAACTTAACTAATCCTGGATATTCTAGAAATTTTCTACACGCTCTGACATCGAATGAAACGGAGCATTGACGTTCCTTTCGTTTTTTTTTACACTCTTAGCTATAAGATTATTTTAGAAGGTTAATAAAAGGTTTTTTATGATGATTAAATTGTACGAATAATATCTCAGTTTTACAAAATAAATATTTCATAAGCTTATAATAAAGTTAATCAGAAATAATCGTTGTCTCTTTGATTCGTAATTAATCAGTACACTTTTCTAAATAAAATAAGAAAGAGGATGCCTTGAAAAACGTATGATCTAATGATTGGTTTTTCCCGTAGATAATGCATAGTGAGTGGATTTTTGGATGTAATCTCAATATTTCGTTGGATCTGGCTTAAATATCTCTGTTTAATATCTTGCTTAAATATCCTATATATATATATCTTGCTTAAATATCCTATATTTTAATTTGAAAAATAAGACACAAAAATGTACAGTGCGCAAAAAAATAAACAGTCCAACCAAAAAAACTTTTAATCTAATGATTGGATCTTCACATTTTGGGATTGAATTTTCATGGTTCAAGGAGGTGACCTCAAATAACCTAGATAATTCGTGCAGGTGATATTTTAAGACACAAAAACATTATTCTTTCTCTGAGTAAACTTATATTTCTTAGATGGATTTAGACTTCTGAATCTCAAAATATAAGGTGTAGCTGCAATCTAGGAAATATGATCCCAAATGATTGGTCAGGAGAGCAATCCCAAGTTACGATCCCTAAATGTTAATTTTACTTTTCGGGTATTTCAAAATACGTCTAGAACTTTTTAAGTGAATTGAAAAATTTCTGCATTTTCGTTGATGTAACGATAATTCCATTAAAAAAGCTTTTAGTAAAGATTTTTGATTTTTAATTAAGAAATCTTTACCTTTTAATATCTTATTAAAATCTTTATCTTTTTTATTAAAAACCTTCTTATCTTTTTAAAATCTTAAAAGTAGTCGAAAATATTTTGATTTGTAAAGTACATAAATTTTAACCGCATTTCAAAGAATTCAATTTTAAATAGAAAAATAAAACCTTTCAGCGAAATCTGTTGATAGTTTCCGAGAAATCGAGTTTTAAAAATATGACTTTTTCCAAAATTCGATTTCTCAGGGACTGTTCGACCGATTTTGCTTAAATTTTGCATTTCACCATTTAATATTGTATTCTCTAAAATGACGTAAAAATTGCTGCACCTCATTGCTTAAATATTTTTCGAATATTATTAAATAAAATAATAAAAATTAATAAATATTTACTAAAATTTATATGTGGCTTTAAATAAACTTTTTCGCATCTTAGCATAAATGAATTTTATAATTGAGGTCAAAAATTTTTGAATTTGCTTCAAAAGTTCTTGAGCTATGGCAAAATAAGCAAAAATTTAAATAAGCTTTAAGGGATCCAAACTTTGAATCGCTCTCTTGACCAAACTATTTTTTTTAAAATTTAAACGACTTAAAACTCCTCATGCACCATGAGGCTTACAGAGCATGAGGCTTACAGTTGTAAGTAGAAAACAAAAAGAAGAAAATTTACAAATTTACATTAAAAACAAAATTCCGCAAGGCCAAACTATTGGGTGCCGATTTCCCAGATTGCAACTACCTTCTATTATTTAGTGGTCAGAAATCAGCATCCGCGGAAAAAAGTTGTGTTTATTCAGAAAAAATACGCTTTTGTGTCTTATTTCGTCACTTGAAATAGTGTAAGCACTAATTAATTAACATACTCAAAGTCCCCTTCAAACCTTGAAGATTGAGTCCTAGAACTTAATATAAACTTTTCTCGAATGTGAAGATGCGATCGTTAGATCAAAAGTTATTCAGGGTGGTCTGTTTATTTCTGTGTGCACTGCATTGTCTCTGCATATCTTTTTTCTATGAAATTGATTTTGTGTTTATTTTTTCTAAAAGATGGGTGTTTGAAACTATTGTTTTTAAGCGTTAAGGGTGAAAACATCCATATGTTTTCCAAGGACATAAAAAATNCTTATTTCTATCAATTGCTATTGGAGTTAAAAGAATCTTTAAACATAAATGATATTTTCTTGACCAACATGCTCGTTTCATCAGTTCAATTAACGTTCGGCCGAATTTGGTACCAGGTGACTGACTACGTTTTCACTTTTTAGTCCCTGTCTTTGTTCTGAATTTACAAGCATAAAAAACAAACTTCACGATTTCAAGAAATAGAAAAAATGTTTTTAATCAGTTTAAGGTATATAAAGGGGCTTTAGCTTAATTAATTAGTTTCATGTTTTTAGATAAAAATTATAAAATTGTATATATGATACAGAAACAAGCAAAAATTTATAAAAATACATAGCAGAATATGCGCATTTTAAAATGGTTTTAATATTCAAATTTAAAAAAAATTTTTATGTCATATGTTATAAGTTGAAGAAAGAATGAAAAATCTTACTTGACAAAATTTTGTCAACAAAACATAAAACAATGCCTTTTCAATATGTAAGACGATTTGGAACTTACCTGAAAAAAAGATAAAAGTAGTTAGAGACATGAAACATGCACAAAACACAAAATTGCAAATATTTGATTTAAAAAATAACGCACTGATTGTTTAAAAAAATGAAAGTTCATTTTAACTAGCTTAATTACAATTTTTTTTAAAATAACGCTCTAATTGTTTAATGAAAAAATAACCTTTTATTTTAACTAGCTAATATGATTTTTGCTTCTTTTCTGAGAGCTTTTTGTTACCTTAAAAATTCTGGAAATTGAAGAAAAATTGCAATAGTTATTTTATTTGTAATATTAAGTAGCTCCTTGCACTGCCAATTTATTTTGTATTAAAACAAAACTATTATAAGCAAAATTAATTATATTTCTTTTTTTCCCCCTTGAAATCCTTTGCCTTCTCATTTATTGTAATTTTGAATTAAGTTTAGAAATCAACTATTAATAAAGAAACAAACTTGTTTTCAAGGAGTACTTTTCTAACGGAATTTGCAGACTAAATTATTTACAAAAGAGAAGGTAAGACCACTGAAATATATCAAGTTTGTTAAGTCACAATGAGATGAAATCATAACTAAAGGTAATTTTTGTCAACATTTTGTTTTGTTCAGTACGTTCAACTTCTCATTCGCTTATTAACCGATGTTTTTGCTTTGCAAAGATTTTTATTTATTGTCTCATAATGGCTGTTTCCATTGAGATGATATTAATAGCGTTGTTAACCGACAGAATTTAATTTTGTTCAATTGCAAAATCGACCATCTCTTCAAATTTGGAAAACATGCTTTTTTTTAAAGTTCTTTTTCATCAACTGAGTACAAATAACCATGGCAAATGCGAACAAATTCATGTTTTATATTAGTTTAAAAATCCCGTTTTGTTGAAAAACCTGCTAAATCTTGCAAGGAGAAAAAACTATTTTGGCAGATGCCTGCTTATTACTCATTACAATGTACAATACACAATAAAAAAAACGAACCTCTCTAAATAACTTTTGATCTAATAATTGGATCTTCACGTTCTAGGACTCAATTTCAATGGTTTGAGGGGGTGATCTACAATATACAACTTAATTAGTGCAGACGATATTTTGATTAACAAAATAAGACACAAACCTACTTTCTCCGAGAGAATATATATTCTTTTCGATGATTTTGGATTTCTGACTCCTAAAATATGGGTGGGGGGAGGTAGCCGAAATTCCAATATAGTCCCAATAGTTTGGTCAGGATAGTAATCCAAGGTTTAGACCACTTTTTTTTCTACGTATTTCCTCATATCTCGAGAACTTAAGGGTATTGAAAAGTTTTTTTCATACAATTATGAAAGTAATTTATTAAAAAAATCCATGCAAAAAATAATTTTCAGTAAGCATTTATTATTTTTCAATGTAACGTATGTAAGTTGCACATTATTTACATCATTTTAAAGAATGTAATTTCACATGGAAAATGCAAAATTTGAGCCAAAACGATTCAATTGTTTTTGAAAAATCGAATTTTAAAAAAGTCATTGCATAAATCGTGCGGTTACATATTTGAACCATTAAGATTGTGTCCTACAATGTGAAGACCCGATCATTAGATTAAAAGTTATTCATGGTGGTCTGTTAATTCTTTTGCGCACTGTACACGTATTTTCTATTTCAAAATTGTCGTAGAATTTAGTTTAATTTACTATGTATCATTTTTTAATTAATACGTATATGTTGCAAAACATCACACTTTTGTTGCACTAATGCTTGATTTTTCATAAGAATAAAACACAAGAGTTGGCGACTTAATATTTTCCTTTAAGATATTTAGAAACTTGCATTTTGTCAATATTGACTTTGATATATTGATTATTCTTATATCGAAAACCGTTTAGAAAAATTCGATAGAATTTTCATCACTTGCTTTTAGCAAGTTGTAGAAACTTTTAAAATCCTATTTTATATAGTTTTCGTGATGACTTAAGTAAATAAATCAACATAAATAAAGTTGGAATCGTTCTTGACAACTGTTTACTTTCCTTAACAGATAATTATTAACCCATTTAATGGACTCTAGAACCATTTTTTTAACATAAATAAAGGGAACAGTACAATTTTGAATATAACTGTTATTATGCATGTAATTACCAAATTTTATATCAGTATAGTTAAATGAAAGAAGATTAAGAAATGCACAAAATAGTTGGTTTTTAAAACGTAGTTGAATGATAAAGTAAGTGTAATTGAATGCAGTTTCACAAGATCTTTTAAAAATATTTTTCGCTAGCATGTCACGGAACTAAAAATTTTCTCATGGCAAAAACAATGATAAGTTTATTTTCGCGTTTCTAATATGATAATTTCTATTGAAGACAAAAATATTCATTCTTAAGCTTGAGATCACCACTTGTACATACAAAAAATTTTCTCACGAAAAAGATCAATGTTATTTGAGTCGATTTATCTTATTTGAGTTCGATAATTAAACAGCTTCTATTTTTGATAAATATATAATCTTATCGTCATATTTTTTAAGATTCTTTTAAAACTATATGGTATGCTTGCGAGCCCACAGCAATATAAATTGCAATATTATTAATAAAACTCTTATATTCATCTATAATAATAAAAAGGAGGGTTTATGTGTAGTTTGTCTCGTTTTGTAAACGTTCGTTTTGAAAGCTATGACTTTTCCGTCCAGGAACACCCCAAGTGAAAAACGAATTTTGGTTTAGCACTAAGCAATGTTTTAAATTAAACTGTAGAATATTCCTTTTTTACCTTCAACCATTTAAATGAATGCTTATACGTATGTGTATAAAATGAATGTTTAGATACATGAAGCAGAGCGTTTATTTGTAGGTGTGTAAGAACCTTATACAAATCCGTATTTCTAAAGCGATCCGCACTAAATTTGATCTAGCAGATCACTAGACTTGATCTAAATTTGACGTCAGATCTAGCTGTTTACTTTAAAACTCTGATCATCGAATCAAACAATTTTCTTAGTCACGAAATCTTTAACTAATATGAAAAGAAAGTAAAAATAATTAATAAAAAATAAAAAAAGTTGAAGTAAAGATGACATTTTAAAGCGTTTGGTAAATTCAGTTCACTGAGTCAACTTAATTACGATTTATTTTTCAAGAGTAACAAAAACAAATTACAACATATCTTATGGAAAAATAATAAAAGGAGAAAGAATTTGAAAAAAACACGAATTATAATATGTTTGAAATAAACATGTTACAAGGGGAAACAAATTTTGGTAAAATTAGCATACTTTATAATAATATCATTTCCGGTAAAAAAAAACACGCATAATACTGGTAATAAAAACCAAATATACGGCGTATAAACCGTTTATTTGAAAATATATGGTAAATATATGTGTTCTACGCTAAATATATCTGTTTATATGGTAACGGTTTTTACCGGAAATTCTGATTTTAAAAATTATACTTATTATCATACAGTTAGTAAGATATACATAACTAAAGAGCAAATTTAACTGAAAAAAATGGTTTTTATGCCCCGTTATAAACTATTAAGAAAAAAATTTATTTAACTTTACCACAGTTACCTAATTTTACCACGTCTTATAAAATAATATTTTATTATTAACTTTGCAAACGCTCGGTAAAAATTACTTATCTTTTCAGTGTAACTAAAGAGCCAGATGCACATTAAACTTCACAGTATTCCAGTAAGTTTGGCCATACTAAGTCCTTCTGTCTGCCGAAACTAAATTATTTTAATAACTAGTACCTCAACATCACAAAGAAAAGACTTTATTCCGAAAAATTTGTCAACAAAATGTGACAAACAACACCGTTTCACACAGAATGTGATTATTCTTATCCAAATTCAATAGAGGAAGATGAGAAAAATAAAGTATGACATGGAAAGGCTCAACAGGGCTGAGCAATGTCAGGCACGTCAAAAGACGACTGAGAAAAAACATGGCTTTAATAACGTTCGGGACCGACAACATTAATCAGAAGTACATGGTACGAAGAGGGGGGGCGAATTGTTTCCGAGTGCAACCCGAGGAAAAATCATGTTTAAAACTTATTTGTCATCGTCATTGGGGATATAAATTTAGATTTAGTGAAGACAGCCTTTAAGTCAATCTGCTGAATACTAGATCAAAAGGATGTCTGGGATCATAAAAAGCTTGAGTATATGACATAATGTGATATTTCATTCGCCGAACATAAATCTGAAGAAGCTACCGAATGGTTTTCGAATACTATTTCTTTGGCTTTTCCTCTGCGATGTAGCTGACTTCTTCATGTTCATATCGCCGTTTAGAAACTGATGAACTGAGTGGATAAACGTTTGAAGAGACATTTTAGCGAATCTGAGTAAAATAGTTTTTTTTTTATTGTTTTTAAACATTTGAAAGAGGAACTACAGAATATGTCTTTTTTTCTATTTTATATCCATCTCAAAATTTATAAATCTCTAACGCTCATTGTTGTAGTTGCAAAAATAAAAGAACCTTTTATTCTTAACTACTAAATTAAAAACATAAATGTAGCACAGAAAAAAATATTGCGAAACAAAAACAAATAAAATTTTAATGTTTAATTTAACGAAAAAAAACACAAGAAAGTTCTACTAAAAAGAAAAAAAAGAATGTTCTACTGATTGAGTATTGAGTATAGTAAAGTGCGGCGTGCTCTCTGCTTTCGCTTATAGTACTGCGTTTCAATAGGTAAGGCTTAATTTACTCTAATCAGATTTATTTGAGCTCTGAGGCTCTTCTTCAAATTCAAAATACGCAATAAATATTTATTTCTTCTACTGATTCTTTCAAAAAACAAAGAGAAAACGTGAATCACCAACACAATATGTCCTTTTTTAATTTCATGCTTTTTGCCAACCTGGTTAAATATGACTTCAACAGCAAATTAAATTAAAATCTTTGAAAATAATCGTCTGCTACTATGCCAATCTTCAACATTCATACAAACAGTCTGGATCATAGCGTTTGTACGCGGCGTTTCCAGCGGAAAAAGAGGCTTTCTAAGATTTGGCATCGACTTTTTGTTGCCAAACACACTTAAAATCTTTTTCGGCATCATAAACGCATTAAAAAATCCTTACTTAGTATGTTTATCCACTGAAATTTTAAAATTTAATAATTGGCAATATAAGTTTATATATCTCTTATGATAAAATGAAAAGTTTATGTGTCTTATAACTCATCGGGAAATTTAATAAGCGGGTAAAAGAAGCAACTTTAACCCCCGATCCTAAAAAAAGTTTGTGCAAAAATTTTGATTTAATCGTTCAAGAGAGACATTTAAAAAATGGAATATTATCAGTGGTTTCATCATTGATGTAAAAGAAACTGCAAGCAATTTTAAAGATATCGTAAGTAATATTACCTCGCTTATAGCTCTCATTGATAACAAAGAGTTAATTGCACGCTCTTAGATATTTGATTAATTTCTAATTCGTTCTGTCAGATAAACTCAGTGATCCACGAGAGCGAAAAAGCATAGGTGGACAACGTTACCAAATTAGTGTTTATTAAGCAGTATGAAGCCATGTGTTTATTTTTACAAATGGATTTTTACGGGATGTTGATTGACGTAATACATCTCTTTGCAATTTGATTTCAAGTCTAAATAGCTTCAATTTTTTCATTTTTTTGCTAAATTAGGGAACTCTTTTCCTTTTCGCAAATTATTCCAGACCCCTAAAAGGATCTTTTATTGCTTGCATCACAAACGTTATTTATTCTGCAAATACCAATTACCAAAACTAGTTCTGAGAGATAATCATTCCGAAGTTTATTCATCAAAATCTAAACATTCTTAAGAAGAAACTCTGAAAATGTTTCGAAATGTCGAGAATATTGAGACGGTTTACAGCACGCGGGATTTTCGTTTTGCAACGACTTCTGTGAAGGAATTTATTTGAAATTCATATCAAAAAGAAAATTCATTAAGAGTTTCAGGTCTCGAGGACGATTTAAATGCTCAAATGATGAAAAAAAAATAATAGAAACTAAAGAGTCTGTGATTGTTGTTAATGGGTTAAAAAAGTCTAAAATAGCTCTAGAAAANCTTTTAGTTTAATTAATAAACTGAGTTTTAAATATGTTTACTAAATTCATAAACTTCGGTAAAACAACAATATAAATTATTTCCAAAGGAACTAGACTAATAGAATTCCAACCTGGCGAGTAGCGACTTATAAACAAGACACTTCGTTTGATGCTTTTACTTGTTGCTGGAAATCAGGTTCGCAGAAAATGCTGTTTACTAGTTAAATTTAGTAGGAATAACACGATCTGTGACGTAGGCTATAGTATATCCAATTACCAAAACTAGTCCAGAGAGATAGTCATTCCGAAGTTTATTCATCAAAATCTAAACATTCTTAAGAAGAAACTCTTAAAATGTTTCGAAATGTCGAGAATATTGAGACGATTCACAGCAAGCGGGATTTTCGTTTTGCAACGACTTCTGTGAAGGAATTTATTTGAAATTCACATCAAAAGGAATATTCATTAAGAGTTTCAGGTCTCGAGGACGATTTAAATGCTCAAATGATGAAAAAAAAAATAATAGAAACTAAACAGTCTGTGATTGTTGTTAATGGGTTAAAAAAGTATAGAATAGCTCTAGAAAAAGTCTTAATCAGCTTATAACTAAAACTTATAAACTAATTAGCTTATAACTAAGAGGAATATTTTCTTCAAACATGATAACTAAAATTTTTTTTATTATAACTTAATTTAAAAGTTATTATAGTGTTTATGATTTTGAAATATTTTTCAATGCAGAAACCACAAAGCTATATAGATCTATAATGTAATTGTTAAAATATAAATGTATAAATTGTAAACTTTTTTAGTAAAACATACGGAAGCTTTCCTAATCCTTATATTTTAATAAGATAATTTCATTAAAAATCATTCAATTCAATTATTAGAGTTGATTTAAAAAAGTCTAGACTTCATCATTTATTTTCGAAAAAATGATAGAATTTACCATAAGGAGGATTCCCTACTTTCTTTCTTTCTTTCTGATAAGGATTATTGTCGTCACTTTCTTAGGATAAGAGGAACGCATAGGGAGATAGAAAGAATAGAAGAAGAATATTGTATATAAGGAATAAAAAATTGTTAGGTTTTAGCATATCATCTCCAGAAATAATCATTTTTTGCAAAAGTTAATCATGAAGTGGTTTGTGTTGGCTTTATGTTTTGCTTGTGCAGCTGTGAGTATATTATCACTTTTGTTTTTAATAGAATTATTAATTCTTGTACAAAATATTTCAAAGAATAAATATTTATTTTGTTTAATTTATTCATTTAATTTTAATTTATTCATATAATGTATTTCCTTTCAAATTTACATCTTAATTTAACACTTAAGAGTTCATTATTGTTAAATTTGTTATATTTTAAAATTATTTACTTATTATATATCATTTTTACTTATTTATTCATATAATTATTTTTTATGAAGATTTTTTTTCATGAAACCGTTATTATACCTACCTAAATAATTCAGAGTAATAAGTTTCGATAGTGCAAATCAGTTTTAAAGATTGTATAGGAACAGTTTTGTAAACAATTAAAACGTTAGAATTGAACAAATTATTATTTTTAAGCCGAATTTTGTATTATAAATTATTCCTTATTGTTCAATAATTTAAGTTTGTTACTTACACATTAATTAAAATTTATTCATTTTATTAATACAATTATTTGAAAAAAATGCTATGCTAAAAATCGTACAATTTTAATTTTAAAATGACTTTAGAAAACAATGCATGAATATGTATAAAATGGTATTTCAAGCATTAAAATGACATTTTTATGCTAATTAATTTAATTTCGAATAAAAACTTTACAGCAGAGAGCTTTAACTGGGTAGAAACTTGCATAGGTAAGTTTATATTAAGCATTAAGAGGTTAAATTATTTGCTAGAAGAAATTATTCCAGATATGAATCTCTTTAAATTTATTATATTGTGCATCACGCTAATCATAATCATTTCTAATAAATAATTATAAAGGAAATAATACAATACCTATACTTTTATTTAGAAGATCAGCTATTTAAATTTGGAATTATAATAAAACTGTATCGTCAACTATAGTAGAGTTATAACTTCGACTATAGTAGACCGATAATTTGAACTATAATAGAGAAATTTTGACTAGCGTTTGCTTTAGGTTAACCTTCACGATAACCTTACATTCTATCCTCTAAGTCAGGGTTTCTTAACCTGTGCTTCATGGACCCCTAAGGGGTCCATGAGTCATATTTTGGGGGTCTGCTGACTACTCCCAATTTTTAAAATGTTTGGAAGCCTACCCATTGCTGGAAAAGCGAACTATGGCAGCTATAGTTCCATTTGCTACAGTGAATCTTTGCGAAGCGGGTTTTTTCCACACATGTGACAATAAAATCGAAATCGATTGAATGTTGAACATGATATGCGCGTTGCTTTGTCGAATACCATCCCCCAATCCAATTTATTAATTAAGGAAAAGCAGCAGCAACCTTCACATTAAAAATTTTAAAAAATTTGTATACTATTAAAATAATAAAATTAAATGTTTTCTAATAACTGATGTTTTTTGCAATAATTTTTTTCACAGGGGGTGGTCCGTGACTTCTTAAAAAATTTTAAAAGGGGTCCATTATACCAAAAAGGTTAAGAAACACTGCTCTAAGTGATTCTGCGATTTGTATGGAAATTTCGCGCATGCGCTGTGATGCTTAAATAGCGTTTTTGTTAGAGTTAACAGAAAATCGTAATGCTATGCAAAATGTCTCTATCATTCAAACTGCGACTTTAATAGTATGATAACATAATTTAAACTTGATTATATAATATTATGATTGAACTTCAGTGGAGACATAATTTAACATAATAACATTGTTTTTAGAAATACAATGAAAAGATTAATTCTTCATTTAGGTCTGTTATGAAGTTCAGTTAACTTTAAGTTACTAAATAAGTTAAGGTTCAGAAATATAATTGTCTTTATCGTAATATTTTTTGTTTTGTTTCAGGTGTCTCTTGGTGCCAGGAGACGCTGCAAATCAGCAGATGATTGTGAAGAGGGCGAATGCTGCGTGACTTATGCTATTGTATCATTTTTGGGAGGTGTCTGCCGAAGTCTGAGAGATGAAGGTCAGTTCGAAACATTAGAATTAGATTAATGAAACCATTTATGTAAATATTTTTTTAATTAATTTGTTCAGATGGCATCATTGAATCAAAAAATAATTGTTAAAACTAGATTCACCCAGGAAGGTATTGAAAAAAATCTTAATAATGGGGCTTATTTACCCAGCATGGGTGTACTTTGTAATTATGGTGAAAAGTATCGGCACTTACGGAGCCAATACAATATATCCTAAAATTTTATGGAACAAAAATTGATAATTTTACGGTAGAAATGGTTTTTACGGTAAAGCATATTTTGAGAATGTTGCTTTCAGAGTGCCAGTACTTTTAACCGTAATTTGATCCGGAATTTTTTTACAGAGAACATTGCAATGGCCGGCGTTTTGCTAATACTGTAGTTTAGCAAGTAATTTAAAACCAACTTAAAAATAGTTTTTGTTGCAATGCTAATTAGTAAAGTGTTAACTATTTTCCATTTTTAATAAAATATTTGTGTTTAATAGTGTAAATTAATGTACGAATAGTTATCTATTTAAATTTCCAAAGATTATAAACTTTGATAGTATTCCGGAGAATTTTTGGTGGGATTGTGACGCCCTTTTGGAGCCATTGCTAGTGAAGGACAACAGGTAATAACGGATCAATAAGATAAATAATGAAAAAAAAAACATATTATACGTTTAGATTATTTTTATTATCTTTAAATAATATAATTAAAAGTTTCTATTCAAATTTCTAAAAAATGTAACATGTCACCAAAATAGAAAGCTTTAAGGTTCTGTATTAAGATTCTCTCAGCAAATGTTTGTTTTAAATAAAGACGTCAAAAATGTTTGTTTTTAACTTCAAATATTCAAATTTTCATAAGAAAGCAAATATTTATCATGGCAAACATAAGTAAGGTTACATTCATTTCAGTTGTGTCACGGAAACCAGAAAATAAAATACCAGAAAAACCAACATTTTTTCCTTTGGAATATTTCACATTTTAATGCATATATGTTTTAGAATTTCATATTTTTCTTCGATTCTATTATTACTCAAAAAGTTAAAATGCGTTTGAAATAATAAACTAAGAATTTTGCTAATATGCTACTTTCATGCAATTAAAGGAAGAACAACATAGCTTGTAAAAAGCAGAAATTGTTAATACTCAATTGTTCAATTAATGATTATGATAAACTAAACTTAATAATTTTTAAAAAAAATCTTTTTCGACGTATTTCAGCTTAATTTTTACCGTGTCTCAAATACCAAAAGATAAAAAAGTTATCTCTTTTATAATTCAATGTTTAAAATATATTTTTTAAAATTATCTATTACTTACTTTACTCAAGAGTTGAAATGAAAAAATCCAAATTTAGATGATTTCTCGAACTAGAGGAATTTAAGTTTTGTTGTGTGATGGAAGTTTCAAAAAAAATGATTTTTCTCTCTCACAGAATCGCGGTGTTTTGAAATATAATTCTGCAAAAGATATTACTGAAATCTAGTCAAACCAATTAAAAAAATCCCTACGTGCAGCGAGAATCATATTTTTTGTGAATATTGTTTCAAAATTTCAATTGAGAGTACCTTTAATTCTTTTTCTTACATAATTTTGCAAACTATGTATTTCAATAAAATATTTAAAATGATAGTATTTTATTGAAATTTTTTGATAGAATTGGGCAAATCCATTACTCAACTGAGCACACGAGTTCACTTGTTCATACATGTCTCAGCGTGTCTTGCACCGCGCTCGACATATTATGCTGTGATTTTTACATGTTTAAAAAAATCAATTCAATATTTTGATACAATATTTTAAGAAGGGTGGACTGTAGAAATTTACAATAAGTTTGATTTCCTTTTTTTTTTTTAAATTTTACCGTTGTTTCCCCCTTTGTTTACCAAACACAATTGCTAAATATGATTTTCAATTTGTATAATTCTATCTCGATCCTAAACGTTTGCAGTACTAGTAAAAATGGGCTATTAATTGAACAATTAATAATTTATTTCTTAAAACTGTTTTTTTCAAGAAATTTTTTAAAGCAATTATTTCATTAAATCGAATATAAAAATATATAAATAATGCATTTAAATCTCATATTTAAATATGTTTATTAAAATGTAAAATATAATATGCAAGCATTTGAAAGACAAAGTAAATTGCGATTGCGAAAACATTACCTTGAAAACAATATAAGATCACCTTAAAAACATTTAAATAAAATTATTCATTTATGTGGTTGATTAACATAATTTACTTGGAAAAAGTAAAAGATAAAACCTAACACTTTTATTCTCAAAAAAGGAACGGAATTTAAGTTATACTGGTATACATATTTCAGAATTTGAAGTTCAGCTTTAAGACGAATTTATGCAAAAGCCACATTTACCTAAGCGATGGAAGATATGTAATAACTCTCATTTATGATGTTGATGGCATTTAATATGTTTTAAACGCTGTATTTCGGTACACGGGTGTTATTACGTGAAAATTAAATTATAATTTTAAAGTTATATGAACTGCAATACTTTATTTTATTGATTCGATATTTTATTTGAATAATGAAGACTATGATATCGGGATTGAGGTCCATCGAAAGTATTGCGAACAAAATCCATGTATTTCAAATAAAATACAAAGTACACAGCGCAGCACCTTTATTCCATCAGAAGTATTAATCGGAAAAAGCAGTATTTATTGCATACAAGCAATGAATACATTATATGCAATGAAAATTTATTATATGCATAATAAAAACCAGTTGTATTTCTCTCATGTAGGACAATCATGCACACCAATCAGCAAAAAAGACCAAGAAGAGGAGCCAAATATGCATATTTTCCAGTGCCCATGCAAAGAAGGCCTTGAATGCGTGGCTACTCATGAATTAACCGTTTTTGGAGTGAGTACAAACTTATTTGTGAGAGTATTAAAATTCGCCAATATATACCGTTTCATGATAGTTTAATCAGGAAATTAAATCATCGTTAAATTTTCGAAAGAAAAAGTATTTACTATCAATGAAATGTCAAAATGACTATCAATGTAAAGTCGAGCTCTGATGTCATAAAAAAATCTGAATTCTTTACGCTCATATGAGAAAAAGACCTCTTTTAGTTAAATACATATCTCGATGACCCTTGATTTAAAAAAAATCGTTTTTGATCATAATTTTTTTCTCCGAATTTTTGAAACATTAAAAACGTTTGCTTGAGCTCCAATTCTTAATGTCTTTGAATAATTTTATAAATAATTTTTTTTTGAAGCTTTAATGGAAAAGATAATATTATGTTTAAGAAGAATTTGCCCATTTCTACAGAAATACACTTGTAAGATAAGTGTGTATAGACAAGAATATCCGAAATTTATAGTATTCTCATATTTTGTGATTATAAATACTCTGTAATTTAATGATTCCAAAAGAAACTGGTTTTTATGGGGAAGTAATTGCTGTTAGACCGTAATATTGCAGTATGGGGTAAAATAAAAAGCTCAAATATACTGAAAATCGATACAGTAACAAAAAATAAAGTGGGAAAAAAAGAAAAAAGGAAAGAAAAGAACTTAATAAAAATGCAAAATTTAATTAGGATCTAAAGATGCTGATATTGCTTGAATTATTGTTTTCGCAGAAAATGCGTGTCATGCAAATTTTAAGTATATTACAGTTAATACTTTGACTGAATTGTTAAAAATACTTGGCATGTGATAAGAATATTTGATTTTCGATATACCGAAATTGTTAACGTCTCTCTTCGAGTTCGTGATATCGAGGTTTAACTGAGTATAATTTGGAAGACTTAGAAAAAAAAAATTTTTTTTTATGAAACTATGCAGTATGTAAGCTTTAAGATCTATACTTTACTACAGGAAAGAAACGCTATGTCCAGCTTTCAAATGGTAAAATTTATAAATATTTAGCATTCATTTAAAATGTTTCTCGTCATATCATTTGCACTCTTGGCGCTTTAATTTGTTGTCTAAGGACTGGCTTTCTAGTGATAACCCGGGCCCCGCAGTGGAGTGATCGTTAAGGCACCGTTCCCAACAGAACACCAAAGACATGTATCACAGGCTGAGGTCAGTAAGCGAGTGGGGGACCACTTTGATCAGCCGACGCAGGGACCGAGGGTGTGCGGTATTAACTGTAACCTCGTTTAACTGTTCTGCCTTAAAGTGCTCAACTTCGCCCGCGGGTTCTTGGGCTACCAAGCGGAGAAGCCATCTCTTCTGTAGAGGATCAAAATTGTGATGGCATGTCTTCGGATCATCCTCCGGGATGATTCCCAGACCGTCGCCAATAGCTCATTGTGCAGCTGTAGTGTGACGTAAATAAAATAACTACCTACCTACGAGAAGCCGGCGATTGTTTGTTTCTAGATACACTCCAAAAACCGTCACAGACTGTAACTAAGTGAATTTATTTACTATTATTTCCGCTTTTTAATGACTTTCTAACATTGATTAAAATTGTCTCACTAAATAAGTCCCAAATAAGAATTTTGCACAGAAAACCAAAAAAAATTTTCTCCAGAAATTTTTTGTTAGGATTTTTTTTCTCCACTGTTTACCTTATTAAAAAGAATTGAACGGCTATTAATTATTTCAGCTTTTATTTAGATTCAGTTCCAGAGTAACAGATAGCCTGTGGAAACATAACTCTTGAATCAAAAAAGTTGTTTAGTAGATTGGATGTTATTATCATTCATTTGTTTGGTTCCCATTCAAAATATTTTTGTTATTATATGCTTAGAGGCAATTATATAAAATTTCAAATTAGAAAAAAGATTTTGCAAAAATTAAATTGTCTTAATTTCGAAATACTTTGCGGTAACAATGAAGCTTTAAATAAAACCAGTTCGATTCTTACAACTGAGCTTCTAAAATACTAAAGTGAATACTTGGGTTTGGAGCACTAATCTTTAAAAATAATAATCAAAAGTCATTAAAATTATTACAAATCATATATAATTATTCATGAAATATTGATTTTCGTGATTATTATTCTATTGATTATTTTTGTGATATTGAAAAAATTATGCTTTTATTTCAATGAGAACACGCTTTAAATTATTATTTATTTACTGCAATTCCTTTTTAAAAGGATATGTCACGAAACAAAATATTCGAAATACCGTAATTTTTACAGTAATAATTACCATAAAACCACTTAAAATTATTATTAGCGTTAAAATTGGAGAATAATATTTCAAGGTAAAAATGGATTTTACGTTAAAATGGATTCTACAGATGATATACGCAAAGTGCCAATATTTTACATTGTAATTTGACTCGAACTCTTTTCTCGAATTCTTCTAAACGCTTTGCTTAATGAAATATGCCATAGAATATTTATTGGTATTTTTTTGAATGCTTATCAAATGTGAAACAACAAAAAATTCAAAAGAATCTATAAATTTTAAAATTTTTCTTAGATTACTTTAGGTTTTTGCAATGATTAAAAGTATCATTTAAAAAAAGGTTGACTCATTTTAGGATGAAATGTATTCTGGAACCAACTAGCTATTTCTTATTTAAAAAATGCAGCTTAATGAAGTATTATCGTTTCTAGCACCAAGAAAACTTAATACTATATCAACCCGCATAATTTTTATACCCTCTCATCGAATTTGAATTAGATCTTATAATTTTTTTTTATTCATTGCATATTTTGGCAGTGTTGTAGCTTCTTTGAAGTGATATGATTTCTTCAAAATCACTTATTTGAGCTTATTAGACAGCTTCTTGTGTTATTTAATCACTTATACCCTTTAGTTTACTATAAAAATTCCTTTCGCCTTGAGTTAATCCCGCCATCAAATTATGAATGTTTCCCTAGAAAAGTGTCTTTTGTTAGAAATTTTACTTTTTCGCTCACCATTTATATGTAAATTCATATCTTAATTATCAATTTCAAGCTAATCGATTGTATTTCTCGAATTATATTTCCTGTTCATGAATTTTATTAATTCTATTATAGCATGTTATTAAACATAAGCCAGAATGCGTTGTACCTGGAAAAGAGGATTTGAGTACAGCACAACCACCTGAACCGGAAACAAAAGAGCCTGAACCTGAACCAGAAACAAAAGAGCCTGAACCTGAACCAGAAACTGCCGAACCAGATCCAGAACCAGAAGTTGAAGAAGGACCAGGAGGAGAACGTCCAAGGGACGATGACTGCGAAGACTGGACATACGGATGTTAATAAAATATAAACTTTTTTAAAATAATATTGCTTGCACAATAAATGAAATTATTGAAAAAAGTTTAATTCACAAAAGTATGCCTTACATTTATCTATTTTTTTACATTTTCAAAATGTGATTATATTTTCAAAAAAGAAATAGAATAACAAGTAAAGATTGCAGTATGATTATACAATAAATAAATTATTGAACTAGACAATCGTAATATGCAGTATTAATTTGCAATTATTATGTTGAACAAGTATATTATCTGTGCTTCAGTATTTTGTTAAAATATACAATAAACTTAGCAAGCATTATGAGTTTCTTGAATTTTCCACACAACGCAAAAGTAACTACTGTTTTCTGTTGCGTAATATGCGGTTTAAAATGTTAAAAAATTACGAAAAAATTTAAAAAACTGTTCTACTTTCTCGCAAAAAAACTTTAAATGATTCTCTTTCAGCAATCGTTAAGTAAATTATGAAAAAGGACTAGTATTTCAAGCTTGACATGCTTAAATAATGTTGCAAAGTAAATGCAATGATCTTATTAAGTACAATTGACGCATATTATTTCAACAATCTTGATAACATAGTCAATTACCAGTATACTGAATACTTATCAGCGACCAAACACATACCAGTAGCAACCAATTAGATCAATATAAAAGAAAGTTCAAAAAACTGATTGTCATTGACAACCACAATATTATGGCAATGCATTGAATGTAACAGTCAAGTTATATAGTACAGCCTCTGACTTGTACATCTCTATTATTAAAAAAAAGAGGATTCTTTTTCATATTTTTAGAACTTCGAATATTTGCTCTTATTTTTTTTAGTTGATAACAGACATTTTTATCATTAATATATGTATATACGCTTCTCACTGAATATTTAAAATTATATAACGTTTCTCACTGCTCTCTATAAATAATTATTTAAAATTGTTGGTTTTAAATATTTTTTATACATTTTTTCTGCGTAATATGTTGTTTCCGAAATTCAGGAGCAATTAATATTACAATCTGTTTTCTTTTATACCTGAAAATTTAGATAAAAAAAAACTAAGCAATGGGAATTACACAAATTAATATAGCCAAGCTTCCATCTAAAACAAAAAAAATTGTATGATTACACAAATGTAGCCAGTTAATAAAAAGCACAGATGTAAGATTATACAAAAATAGTCAAACTTTAATCTAAAACAAATTGCGTTTGTCTGTTAAAACTCATATTTACCTGATAAATATTTCATTAATTTTTGATAAAACTTATCATTTTATGAAAATAATGTGCGCATTGAGAATTTTTACATATGTTCAAAATAATGCTCAGTAATATCTTATCACCTTCTTCTATTAATGATAAAAGACAGCTAAAAGAATACATACATCTTCTCTCTATTCCATATGTTATTCCCACCTTTGCGCATTTTATTCAAGTGTTTTGCCTTTATAGTCTAATAAGTGTATTATGTTTGACAGTTCAATATAAGAATTTATAATATATCTTTTTTATTAATGTTTCGGATTAAGGTATGTTAAAATAATAGCATGAATGATAATGATATTTTCAAGATTTCTTATGCTGATTAATGTTATTTTTATGAAAATCTATTATTTGAAGGGCTTCACTGAATTATTAAGTTAAAGTAAAAAAAATAATTAGATACTAAAGAATGCTCTTTAAACTCCGTCTTTGATTAAACAGAGCTGTAACATATGTAACAGATTAAACATCATTAAACAGAGTAAGCATCTCATTAATGAAAAAATATAAAGCATAAATGAAAAAAGTTTAGTTTAAAAAAAAAATACTTAATTCCAAATTACCATACTGTGTTTTCTTGGCTTTACTCGGTTTTCTTATTTAGGGGAAGCAAGAAATTTCTATATAATTGGAAATAAGTGTATATTTTTAAAACATTATAATCAATTTTTAAATCTATTTTAAGGCACGTATATCTGGCTCGCAAAACTTGCATCACAATGTTGGTTTGCATTTTCTTTACATCACTATGTTAGATTCCATACGTTATTTGTCAGAAATCTATGTAGAAGTGAACGTTTTCCAGAATTTTACCATTTTTCCATTGTGTGATAGAATTAAATATTTTCTTAATAAAAATTAATATTTATTTTATATTTAATTTAATTTAATTTTATTTTATAACCATCGTTGAAAATCCATTTTTGGGCTTACGACTACTAAAATGTTGAACCGATGCTCAACTCCGTGGCCTCATAATTTTGAACCCAATTCAGAAGACAAGAGAACAAGTTTTGAGGAACATTTGCCTTCGCGGAGGACTTTTTGTTAGATCTAACCCGCCTTTGCGTTACATGCAGAGGAAAACCACGAAAACATTCCAGGGTTAGCGTGATAGCAGAGGAATCTAATCCATGATCCGTCTACCACTGAGGATGTTTGCTAATAATTTTTCCATAAAATGTTCTATGTAAAATAGTAGCACCGTATTTTAATCTACAACACACGCTCGCACAAAAAATATTTTTGATTGAGAAATTTAACAAATTCACCCATATAAATATTTTTTTTCTCAAATGCAAAAGAAGAACCAAATTTTTCCAATCTGAGAGTCCGTGGTCCTAAAAGTACACTGAAAAAACTGTGATTTAATTTCTATCCGAATTTGGTATTGAGAAACTCCAAATATTGTGTGAATGAATATTTTATCTCAAGTTATTACGAAATCGAGTGTTCATACATACTTTCAAAAGTATGATTTTTGCGTTACATGGAGAGGGAAGCCACGAAAACCTCCCTCGGTTAGCCTGAAGGCAAGGGGACTCTAGCCCATGATTCGTCTACTAATGAGGATATTTTACGTCAGCACTGAGGTCGGTGCAAGTCGAATGGTGGCATGTTGGTTGGTTGGCTTTAATGCCACTTGCCACACGGGCAAGCCTGCTTGGTGAAATCGAGCAAATTTAAGCCAGAGTGTGCGATTCTTGTTTTTCCGTGGCGCCATCTAGGGCAGGAATTCGACTTTTGCCACATCATACGTCACACCTGTTTATAAGGCGGGCACATTCATACATCCACAGATCGTAATTTCGACCTGAATCAGAGAACGATCGTTCTCAAATCCAGTACCCCCAAATGTATTGATTTGTTATGGGAACATGGAGAACTTTGCGACTCGATAGAATTTTAACGTGCATCAGTCACCAACTACACGGGGGAGTCTTCAGCCGGCGGGGTCCGAACCCACGAACTCTCGGACATGGGCTCAACGACCTACCAACCAGGCTATCCCGGCCTATGGTGGCATGTACTTTACACCATTTAAGTGTAAATTACATGCCACCATTTTTGGCGTTGAGACACGCTAAAATGTTTTAGATTGTCGGCATAACCATCATCAATTAGTTCATTTTTCTCCCCCGATAATGCCTTTATATTGAAACATTTCATACATTGTGTATAGAAGAACTATGTAAATGTAAAAATAAAAAAAATGAAAAATAGATTTGAGTATCTAGCGAATTTATATCTTGCTAAACACCTTGTAAATGTAATTTCTTACAACTAACTATTATGACTCAGTATAATAATTATCAATAGATTTAACACAAAAAATTATTTTATTAAGAATAAAAAATATATTATGTTGATTTTAGTACAATATAATACAACTTTATGTGTGCAAAAAAACAACTCTAATTTAAATGTTTTAGATAATTTAGATAAGGACATACATCGTGTGAATATGTCAATTTCCACAAGATGTTTGCTCATTTTTTATTTTTACATAGGTATTGTTTACGTCAAAGCTAGTTTCTTTGGATAATCAGAAATCTGTGTGTAAATAAAACAAATTAAAAAAGAACCGTATATATATATTGAGGATAAAAAAAATCTCTATCTCTAAGCAAAGTAAATCGGGAGAGTATCTCCCTTTAAAAAAGTTTATCATGAATTGGTTTGTCTTAACTTTATTCTTTGCTTATGCAACAGTAAGTAACATTTTGAGCATTGTTAATTTCCCATGAGTAATCAATTTAAATATAAACATAGAGAACAGCCTTTTCATTAAGTTAAATATTTTATTCTCTTTCGCATTTATTTCATGCAGTATTTACTTATTTTCAATCAGGATATTTATTTCTTTTTAATTTATATGAATTTAATTATATTCATTAAATTTCTGATAATATTTTTTTATTGCAAAAATAGTGAGATTAAATAAATTAAGTCTAAATACCAGGAATAAGCAACTTTCGCTCCGAATTTTTTAAATGTATTGAAAAAAAGCTTAACGCTTTTTTTTATTTAATATTTATTTATTGAAAAGTTTATTTTGCATTTCGTATTTTACATGAAAACTGTTTGACATAAATAAATAATTATAATGTTTCAATAAATAAAATATGAATTTAAAAGTTTTAAGTCACTTAATTTTATTAGTTCAGATTCCTTGAAATTTTGTTTTCCATTATTTTAGAATATATATTTTTTCCGTAATGCATACATTCATTTAAGTAAATTTTAAAGATTTTGTGTTTTTTTTCTCGGTGAAATCAGTAAAATATTTATAAATAATTACTATTCCGTGGAAATAAATTGATGCAAGTTAGTTTTAGCAGTTTTTTTTAGATCCGAGCACTACGAACTAATTATAAAACATAGTCTGAAGCAAATTTTTGGTTTTTTTATTCTAAGCAACTGGTGCTTTAAGTTTAATCTCCGACCTTAGATATAATGGATTTAATCAAATATCTATAAATATTGACACGGGATCATTCTGAAGCAGATGTTTGATGTAACATTTCAATATGACCCATTTTCATAATTCAAAGATGTTTATAGTGCGAAATTAAAATACGCAGTTTGAATTTTATGGTAATTCACTCGCCTTAAAATAAATTTAAAATTTAGGAAATACCTTAAAGTGCTATTAGGTACACGGAGAAGCAAATTCTGGTAAAATTACCGTACAATATGGTAATGACATTTTCGGTAAAAAAAAATTCTCATAATTCTGGTTAATAAAACCAAAATATACTGTATTTAAACCATTCTCCATTTGGTAATTTTTTCGCTCATGTATTAACGATTTACCATTCATTTGAAAAATTTTCTGTTTATATGATAACATTTTACCGAGAATTCCGGTTTTCCAAATTAAAGTTCTTATTACCATACATTTAGTGAAAAACACAAAACTTAAAATTAAGTGTAACTCAATAAATGGTTTTTATGCCATGCTGTAAGTTATTATTTCAAAATAACTAAATTCTACCAAATTTAACCGCATTTACAACAAGTAAAAAAAAACCCATATTTTTATGTTAATTTTACCAAAAGGTATTCAAAGCACTTCGATAAAAAGTAGCGAGCTTTTTGATATTCCCATAGAGCCAGAAGTAAATAATTTTACCATATTCTGGTAGTTTTGGTCATACTTTTTTTCTCAATGTAAGATGTCAAAAACTCTATGGAGACAATTCCAAAACGTCTTTAATAGTTCGTCTGTAAGAATATAGATTGCGTTTATAATTTTATATAAAAGTATAACACAAAAAAAAAAATTGAAAAAATTTCGTGGTCATAGTTTGTTTTTGCAGTAGATCACAACAAAATGTCTAGGACAACACTGTTTAATTGCAGTTCCAAAAATAATAATAACGTTGATTTGACGCTGAATTCTTCAATAAAGAAATTGTGTTCTGTGACTAAACAGTGTAATTTTTGGACATTTTCGATATCATCATCAGATAGATTTCGCAATGACACAATCCCGCAAAGTAGATTCTGCGCAAACTCTGACTCAAGGTTCCTTCGTAGTCACTGCGTAGCGTAGAACTTAACATTAGTAGTGTGGGATGCAACGTGACAATGTGAATTTACATTTACAGGTGTCTCTCGGAGTCAGGCGCTGCAAATCAGCAGAAGATTGTGAAGAAGACGAATGCTGCGTAAAATACACTGTTGCTGCTTTCTTAGGAGGCGTCTGCCGAGAATTGAGAGAAGAAGGTAAATTTGAAACAATTCACCGAAGGAACTAGTTTGACAATTCGATATCACTGTACACTCTTTTAGAAATTTAATTTCTTAAAATAATTTTGCGATTTATTTAGTGTCTTAAAGCAATTAGAAAAATAAACTAGAGATTGAATTCAAAATGTTTAATTCTGATGTAAGCGAATGGTTTTGAATTAACACAGGCTTATATTGTAGAGTAAAAAATAAGTTACAAAATATTTTTAGATGAAATTTCATATTTTTTCTCAATGGTGATTTCGAGCCGTGGTGGGTAAGGGGATAGAGAGTTCGTATTCNAAGTAATTAAAATTTACAAATATGTCTTTCTTTCTTGAGTTTATGATTATAATAACTATTTACTGGTAAAAAATGAATATTAATCATGAATATAAGCTTATAAAGTATCTGGCTCTCCCTTACAAACAAATAAACTGTGTTTTTAAGTTCCACCTTTGAAAATTTGATTTTCGGAAACTTCTGCGATCTAGGATTTTTTGAAACATCTGGACCTTCGATCTCTGGAAGCATCCGGATCACTGCTAGCGAAAAATCCGGAAATCCGGATTTTTTCCGGAGCACAATCAGCCCTGCTTCAGGCTAACCGTGGGATGTTTTGCTGTATTTCCTCTCCATGTGATACAAATGAGGGCAAATTCCATCGAAAAGTCCTTCACGAAGGCAAATTTCTTCCAAGAGTTCCTTTGTCTTCTGGATTAGGTTCAAAATTACAAGGCTACTGAGCTGAACATTAGTAGTCGTAAACCCCAAATTAGGTCGGCTATTCAACAGCGGTTGTAAAATAAAATAAAATGGTGATTTCAGTTTTTCTTCAAATTTTTATTGACCTGAGAATTCCAAGGAGCATTGACCTGAGAATTTTTATACGCTGCTTCAGCTGTTTTTTTTTTCCTTATTTTTAAAATTTTTTATTAATATTATACTTTTGTAGGGTAGCTAAATTAGGTTAAACTTCTATTTTTCGGGCAAAAATGTTTTTAAGTGAAATTTTAATTTTTTTGCAATAGCTTATCGACATATTCTCTTCGATAGTTCTTTTAGATTATGCAGCTGTGCTTTGTGGTCTTTTAATAACAAACTTTTTTATGGTTGTTAGGTTAATGCAAATTTCCTCATAGTCAAACATGTTCTTAAGCAAAATTATAAAAATTTCCTAATAGCTAATTTACATGTTCTTATCGACGATTGTTTTAGCTTTCTAATATCAAACTGTTTAAATTTAATTGAAACAAAAATAAGAATATTTGGTGCAAAGTTTTCCAAGAGATCAGACGTCAAATCAGATTACATATATAAAATACTTCTATCGTCTCTAATTAATTATTTATCTGAGATTTTAGAATTAAATGAACTTTTTATCCAGGAAAAACATGTACTCCAATAATCAAAAAAGACCAAGAGGAAGACCCAAATATGTATCTTTTCCAGTGTCCCTGCAAAGCTGGTCTTGAATGCGTTGGTTCTATAGAAAAGACTATTTTTGGAGTAAGTATGAATCGTAATGTTTTATGTCTTATTTAATTCGAATTTTGTGAATCTTAATTTTGACTCATAAAACTAATTCAATCAATTGGGAAATTATTAGCAGCTTTAAATAACGGAATCTATTTTTCATTTGAAAAGCATTATTTAGTTTTGCTTTGAGTTCTTGATTTATCAAACAAAGAAAAGAAAATTTCCTCTTTATATTACATTTAAATTAACTCAAGATAACGTTTTAAATATGTTTATATGGTGTTATAATCTATTTCGTTTGGAATTTAGGGTGATGAAAGTTTATTTTCCAGATTCAGAAAAAGTTCGTATTTTCATCATGCAAATTACATTAATTGTTATATTTTGACAACACCTCCCAAGTTTTGTCCAAAATTTTGGACTTAACAAAATTAAATATTTACATTTTCGGTGCAATTGATTCGTTAACTATCCATTAAAAAGGGATAAAAAGCAAAAGTTTTTCACTTTCACTTTTAATAGTTGAAAAAGCTGCTTTTGGAGATATTTACTTATGGTTCAAAATTTCAAAAATATCGCTTAATATCTGGAGAACTATACTGTAACAAAATATTATTTTTGTGCTTTTAAAAAGATTCTTATTAAAAATTTTAGGGAAAGTAACACTTTGGACATTAATTTCTTCTTTTAAGTTTTGCACAACTGTTTTGTCATAATCTTTGCATTCCTTATGTGTTGCCACAATAGGCATTACATATTTCCTAGTATTTAAAATTTCTTTAATTTCATAAATTTATTTTTTCAATCAATCTTAATCAAATTTTAATTAAATTGAACCAACTATTCAATTTTTATTACATTTTATAAAAAGTGAATAGAATTATTTTAGTTTTTTCTTAACAATCCATGTAGTGGCTAACTTTCTATTTCAATATGTAAGACTCATAAATTTACTGCCGCGACTAATTCGAAAACAAAATCCATTTATACCTCTTCATTTTTTATTTCTTCCCCAAAAATATTTCATTTACACGGTTATACTAATTATCATTGTTTTTTTTTGGCTTTTAGCTTCCGCCAAATTATTTCAAATTTAATTTTGATTAAGGGGGGTTGGTTTTATTTTTGGCTATGTTATCTTCTCGCCAACCATGGATCTCTTCCCATACTCCTAACTGTCAGTTGGGAGCAATTCACTTACTTTTAATTTGTAATTCTTAGCGTAAGAACTGGGGGCTTAATTCCGAGGGCTAATTAATGTTTTTTCTTAATGAGAGAACAAGTATGATTCTCTTGGGACTTTCTTTATTTTATAATTTTGGAATGAGGAAATGTTTATTATAAAATAGTTTACTTAATAAATAAATTTTTCCTAAATGATTTCATTAATTTTTCTGGGTTAAATATTCCTCCTTCAAAACAAATTCAGATGCATCTAAATTCAGATGTATCCAAAAATTGTACTTAAATTTTACAAAGAAACTACATCCACTATATAGTAAAGAATTTGGACTAAACTGCCATGAAATCTTACTTATAATATACCTCGTATACTCAGATTTTTAGGATATTTACTTTGAAATTTACCTTTTTTTTAAAGTTTCAAGAAGATTGGTAATCGATCTTTATGTAATTTATGAACTTATGTAATTTAACTTTTTTTAGTTATTTAAAAGTATAATTAATATGTATTAAATTACAAAGTTTATGTAATTTAATTCACATTAATTATACTTTTCTATGATTTAGTTTAATATTATTGTTATTTTTAGCATGTGGTAAAGCATAAGCCAAAATGCGTTGTACCTGAAAAAGAAGATCTATCAACAGTGAAGCCACCCGAAAGAGAAACAACAGAACCAGAACCTGAACCAGAGCCTGAAACAGCTGAACCAGAACCTGAGCCCAATGAATGAATAGGGTGCGAGTTGTAAGAGAGAAAGGAATGGTTTGAACGGCTGAATTAATGAATGATTTTGAAAGAAAATAATTTAGTGTATGATACAAAATTAAAAATATTGAATAACAATAGTTCTTAAGCTTTCTTTTTTAATGTGCTTTACATGAATTCAAATATTGTTAGAAATATTACTGGCAGTGTGTTAGTGATTTTTTCCCTCTGAAATACCTACATTAGTACATTTATAATGACATAAATTAAGTAAAGATAAATATATAGATATGTTTTTTTTTACTAATAGTTTTTTAAAATATCAGTGGAGCAATTCCTTATTTCAATTTTAGAATCGACAAATTTTGAATGGAAATGTGCGATTAATTTTTTTATTTTTTAAAAAAAAAGTCTTAGTTTGCTCATTATTCCTGTTATTACTTTGACGATACGATAAAAAATGCATTGATGGCTGCAATAAATAAAGCAAAAAACAGCGTAAAAGGAGTTCTCTTCTTATCTTCTACCTGGTCTGATGCAGTCAGACCTGGTTGAATAAACCGTTGACTTAAAGTAGTGTTTCCCAAAGTGTGGTACGCGTACCCCCAGGGGTACGGGAACATTTTAGAGGGGGTACGCGTTCTTATGCGAAATATCTCGCAACAAACGAAATTTTAAAAATTTTCATTTAAAAACAAAGTTAGCCATGAAAATTTACGATTACGTATTTTCTATTGGCTATTTTCAGCAGAGTTAACAGTTAATAATTAGTGGTGTCAACAGTCAGTTGTGCTTTTTAATTTTTGTGCAGAAAAAATCCATTCATTTTTTATTAGTGGTACACAGAGTTACGAAAAATTTAGAAGGGGTACAGAAAAGTCATAAGTTTGGGAAACACTGACTTAAAGTATACCATAACAAACAGAGGAGATGAGTAGATTTCTTCTCTACTGAGTCCAAGATATCGTTGGGAGTGGCCAGGTGAAGCTATGGACAATGGAGAAAGGTTTTCACACCACCAGAGAATTTTAGACATTTCAAGTGACCGCTTTTGGGATGCGATGAGCAAGTAAGTATGTGTAGATCTGTGTCCCGAGGAGATAATCCTGGTTTAGTGTCCAAGGTAAAAAATCCAATGGTAAAATATTATTCAGAATGTAAGCTACATATTTTTCAAGTTATAACATAAAGAATTTACTGGAGATGTTTTATTCATTAAATATAATTTTTTTTATGGGGGAGCCCTAATAAAAATTAATAAATATTTAATTTTACAAAGCAAATTTTTTGGTGAAAGTAAAGAAATTTAATAAGTATGTATCAGTTATCGAAAAATTGATTCATAACTAATTTATAAGACTGAAATTTCAATACGGTTTCAGGGAAATGTAAAGAAAAATAAGTATCATGGCATTAAGTATTATGAAATTTTTCCCGCATTAACTTATTTAATTAAAATATATATTATCAAATATATATGAAATACTTGCTGCTTGGGGTAATCAGCTGGTGCACGAACTCACCGCTCTTAGGTTCTGCTCCTGATACCTCAGGTATTATACCTCAGAAATTTCGGCATTAGTATTTTAAATGTAAATCGTAAGCTTAAAAAACGTTCTTGAATTCACTTCCGGTGGCTTGTTTGACCACCTACATAAACTCACTGCTTTGCGGTTTCACACAATCGCCCACCAGCACGAAACTTTACGATTTAATAACAAAAAGCTGGAGCCAGCTACGTTGCGAAATGCGTGGAACAGTGTTATACAGGCTAAATACTGGGATAATTACCAAACATCCAAACAAAATTTTTCCTAAATTTTCTTTATAGTTTGATAGGGAACGCATGGTCCAAGTTTAAAAGTCCTGTTTTGTTTGGAACGTGTTATTTTACACTACCATTGTTTAGAGCGATTACCTATATTTACTGCAATAATTACATAACATCAAATTGAAATTTTTTTAGCCTTTTCCTATATTCTGACATGAGGCACATTGAAAAAAATGTACTCCTTTGTGGTGATAGCAATGAAGTGTTATTTAGCCTTTTATTTACGGTTATTACCCCGATAATTACAAAATATTGAAATGAAATTTTTCTAGCTTTTCTATTCATCTCAATTTGAGACTTGTCTGATAAATGTCTGAAAGTCTTCGCGTTTTCTTAACTTTATCTGATTAAGGGTACGGGGGACCTTAAAAACCAACTTTCAGAGTTTTTATGCTACATTAATGAAATTCACAGTATTTACTTATAATATCTTTAAAAAGCTGTATACAAAATTTCATGTAATTTGATTAATAGTTTTTAAAGTTATTGAACTTTTGAAATGTTAAAATAGCATAAAACCCGATAAAGTCAAAACACTCCACACGGCTTAAAATTCACCGCAGAATTACTTTTTTTTAATATGACGACTCGTTTTTGATTTCCAAATAAAAGTTACCATCATTCAGTGGCTAATTATATTGCTCTAGTTCAAAAAACACATTTTTTATGTATTTCATGAAAATTTCAGGTAAAATTTTAAAAATCTTAAACTTTTTCTACTATAAACAAATTTTATCAAAGTTCTAGGTAACAAAACATGGAAAGTTTTAATTACATACATACATATTACACATAAAACAAGTTTCAACCAAAAAAAAATTTGAGACTCATAGAGCATTTCGAAAAACACAAAAATCCGTCAAAATTTCATTTTGAGAAAATAGCATTTTTTTTAAATGTATTTAAAATAACACTATTAGCTGTGTATAATATCTAAAAAATGACTAATTAAGCATATATCTGTACTTTTATCTCCATTATTATGTTGAAATGGATGAACCAAACTTGAGAATTCTATCTTGATTAACACGCATTATTAACCATTGCTATTAATTATTCTCATTACCCTCTATTTCTCTGAAAAATGCAAACTATCCTGATAATTGCGAAAAATTTAAATGAAACATTTCATCTCTTTCTATTTATTTTAGTTTAAATTCGTGGGAAGTAAGAGAAATAGCGAGGATGTAGTAACGATATTCCTTTTACATACATCACAGTATCAGGAAAAAATGTATACTCTACTGATTTTATACTTATATCTGACACTACTATGTATTAGATCATTTCAAAATTATTCAATAGTTTAGTATTTTGCAAAATTAATCTATAATCTAATATTTTGGACAGCTAATTCATAATCCTTATTTTTTAAAACCAATTCATAACCTATTCTTTTCTAAAACCAATTTATAACCTAATATCTTTTGACCTAATATTTTTTGAAAGTAGTAATCTCGCCCCACTGAGTCCTCCATTATTTCAAAATACCAGTAACAAAGCAAAGTGGTTCAGATTTAAATTTTATATCAAATGAATATCAGAAGATATATATTATATCTTGTATAATATATTTGAGAAAGAATGATATTTTTAGAAAAAGTTCACAAAATAGAAAAAAAAATATTGCAAAATCTGCTTTATAATCTTATCTGCAGCATAATCTGCTTTATTTTTGTTCTTGAAAAGAAAAAAAATAACGCCGAATCAAAGTAATAGATAATTCTTCACCATCTATTTCAAAATTTTGATACTCAGTGGTGTTTTTTTATAATTTGTATAAAAATATCGGCATAAATAAGAAACAACAAGGATTCCAATTCATAGTATATTTTGAAAATCAATTGGTTATTATAGGTAAATCATATAAACTGTTACATTTACGTAACACGTGTCACACGTTTAATTTATAATTGATTTTAGAATATTGGTTTCCAAATTGTGTTCATTTTTGAACTAGGGTGATACATTTCTAAATTCTTTATTAATCAGATTGTTCGATAAAGGACATATTTTTAATTATATCATAACTTTTAACATGAGTTACGTGCCAAATCTCGGTGTGAAAATCTCTTGACAAACATATGTTTCATTTCACATCTGACAAAAATATCGATACGAATCTCGTTTGTCTGACAACCTTTGCCCTCGTTCCGATTTATCAATTTATTGAATTTTCACTTCGAAAAATTGATTTACTTTGTTTTTGAATTCTGAAGATAATCCATCCGAAATGAAGTGGTTGTTTCTTTGCTTTATTGGCATTTCTTGCCTTGTGAGTATGATTGATATAATTAAATGATAACTTCTAATTTGTGTTACCTTTATTATTCAACATGCGTTTTATTTGCATTTGTTTTTGATCATATTTAAAAATTATTTTTTTAATCTGTCACAGTTATTGACTTTAACCTTAATTCATGTTTCAGCAGATTTTCATAATATTTTTATCCAGCTGAAATATTACTTTGTGACTTCCAATAAAAAATAACTATTTTTGTATTTTATTGTTGACACATATTAAAGAAATATACAAAAAAATTTAAAGAAATTTACATTAAAGGAACTTCTATCATTAGGCTAAGTTTATCCTTTTTCATAACAATTTACGAGAAAAACTAAAAGCAAGAAAATAGCAACTTATAGGAAGCAGATGTTTTCCAATTATGATATACTTCACAAAAAGTAACTATTTATATTAAAATAAACTCCCCTTTAACCTTAATTAAAATAAAATCAATAATAGCAATACTAAAATAAAAACAGTCTAATGATTTTGAATATTGTTTTTTGCATGCAAAATATTATATTATGTGAAAGCTTTGAAGTAGCGCGGGGTTGTGACGAATTATTAATAATTTAAAATGTTTCCTTATTATGAGTCATATTCCTTTTATAAACTTAACGATTTCATCGGTCATAAATCTTCAAAAAACACCAAATGATTTTGTCTTCACTAAGGCTGCTTGACATTATAGGCTTATGCATTCAGTGAAAGATGCTATTCAGGGGATGACTGCCGCGAAGGTGAATGTTGTACTGGAGGCATCACACCCTGGATAAAAGGCTCATGCAGGCCATTAGAAAAAGAAGGTAATATTTCCATTCTTGTTCAAATTAATATGCACTATTAGAATTTTAACTCTGAAATTACGGTAAAATTACCGGTAGCAATTTGTCCACCCGATCAACCATAAAGTTTATGTTACTTGATAAAAAAACTTCATACGCTTCAAAAATATACAAAATTAAAATGACAGTCGTCATGCTTCAAGCGCATCAAAAACAGGCGCCCATTTTCTAGACTTGACAGACGTGAATATAATGAAGCAAAAATAATTTGGGGGGAAAAAAACGCAAAGTTGCCAACAAAAAATGGAAAAATTAAAGCAAGAAAAAGTTTTTTAGAAAAATCACAGAAGTCGCAGCTACTTGGGGTTATTTATTTATTGTAAAGTTTATGGTATGGACATTGCTTTACATTTAGAGTTGGAAACTGTTTGCAACAGGTGTCAAAAACAGAATACCATTCATTTTCCTTTGCTAGAAAACGAACCAATAGATGGCGCCACCAGACTTAGAACTCTCTAAGAACAACAATTTTTAGTTAGTTTGATTATGTTACTGTCTTTGGAGAGATCATGTTGTTTTTGTAGTGTTTACTGCTGTTAATATACATATGTTAACCATTCGAAGGAGTCTCTTATTGAGTTTGTGGTCACTGATTAGATTTTATTTAGGTACTTACCGACCCGGGTAGAAGAACAAGGTAAGAATCATTTTATTTGATACCTGTTCTATTGAAGTAGATAAAGAAAATTGTTATCTTTTTTAACAACAGGTACGATTAAGAAATCATGAATATAAAACTGTACGATTTAGTAACCATTTATTGCTTGCGTAATTTCTGAACCATAAAAATGAAACTTAAACGAACATTAGAACTCTGTGAGTGAAACCCCATTTATGCGTGAATGATAGTTTCGTATTCTAATTGTCCAGGGTCACCAATTGAAGAGCGCAGAACACTGAAAATTATTTATGTGTTGAAGAAATGGAAGAAATATTGTGGTGTAAAAGCTGAAATTCGAACCCCTGTTTAGCCGGACGTGAGATAGACTGATCAGCTCTCTCTGCTACAGTTTGTTCCCAGTTGTACGGAACTAAATAGCTTCATAAGGTGAGCCTAGTTAGAGCAAATAGAATTCTGGTTATTAAGCCGTATTAGATAAAAACAATCAATGGACGTTTTCTCTCAACTTAACAGTTTGAATATCGTCCATTTTATGGTTTACAGTGTTTTCACTACACCGCGAGAACGCGAGAATCACGCATATTTTTTTTCTTTTCTCGCAATAAAAAATTATTACCGCGAGAAATTCGCGCATTCTATAAATCAATTTCAAAATTCGCCAATTTCTCGCATTTCGGTAAAAGCTTCGAATTACGCCATTTAGAATAAAATCCGTTTCACTTTTCTTCCTGGATCTTACATTATTTTCAACATCTGCCCCATTATCTAGCCTCCCTATTTACTAGTATTGTTCAGAAACTTTTCGAACAACAGAACACAACCACGGAACCCCTTTCAGAACACATTTCTCTGCAACCACGTGTTTACCGTAGGTAAGGTTTCTTCATGTAAGACGTTCAAATTTTTTATGCACTTATGTAAGATGGACAAATACTTTGTAAAGGCAAAATCTTCTATGATGATGCACCAAAAATATTCAATGCTTTAAAAAAAAGAAGACGTTAAAATGTATTATAATTAAAGAAATGATTTTTTTTCAAGAGTTTTTGTGTTTTTTTAGTTTTTAGAAATCTCACTTAACCTTTTGAAATCTCACCCTGTTTTTGAGAGAGGGTGAGAAATTCTCACCCATTTTTTTTTCTATGATGAAAACACTGATGGTTAATTGAGTATTTTGGTTGAAAATGGTAAAATAATAATAGAATAATTTGCTATTCAACCATTTTTACCGAGAAATTTCTGACAACGTGGTTTGGATTATTCTTACTTTTTCGCATGCAATTGAACGCGTTGAGTTTCTTCAATATGCTAAAAGTAGGAGACAGACATATACTCTGTACAGATGCATTTTTTACAATAAATGATAATGAAAAAAAAATTGAATATTGTATTATTATTGGTCGCATTTAAACTACTTATAAGGAAAAATTTGCCTTGAATCCTTGTTTACTAATCAATTCAAAAAGAGTTTAAAAAATAAATAGCTACTTCTCTTAAAAACGAATTTTTAATAGACAATGTAGTATATTTTGTGTTAGTAATTTTTATTGCTATTATGGTAAATGAATAAGCGGGAAGAGAAGTAAATGGTTATTATTTTTCGTAAGAACGGAAAGCCTTTTTTGAAACCAGTTTTATTTATTTAGAAAGAAAAAGGACCTTCATTTTTAAAAGATTATTGAGCCATAATCGAAACGAAATCATTGCGTAATGTTAACTTTTCTTCTAATAATTGATTTTTGTTCCATTGAGATTGATGGCAACTTCAGTAAATGAAGTTCCAATAGCAATCAATATGTGTGTACATGTTACAGATGAAGTCTGGAGATTAGTTATTCTGCATATTATCTTGCTACTGTTCAGATCTTTGTTAGAAGATCCCTTAAAATGTTAAAATTTGTTTCATTTCTCTAATTTCTTAAGTATATCACTGTTATTAAATAAAGTTTAGTACTACACATTTGCCATATTATTCTCTATCTGTAACTCAAAGTACCTTATTGTATTGTATCAATATGTTGCAGACAACTTTGTTATTCATGACCTTTTGTTTTTTAAAGAAAATAAATTTTACAAAAATTTATTTTTTTAACTTTCACACTACAATCATTTAAATGTCAACGAATGGAAGGCATTTTTCACTTAAAATTTCATGCACGTCTTTAATAAAATTTAATGGATTAAACTAATTTACTTCATGTTTTTTTTTCATGTTAATAATTTTAACAATGATGAAGTTTCAATTCTGCTTAAATATCTCTTATGAAAGAAAAAGACAGACAAATTGAATTTTGAATTCAATGTACTTTTTTAAGAAAAATTAAGCGAGTTTAAAAACTTCCTCTTTTGATATTTTTACGGAATAATCATTTCTTTTAATAATGCATTTTGATCTATTCTTCAAATTGTCAATTTCCTTTTTTAAAAAAAACACCGAAATTTTACTAATGTTTTAATGAAATCGCACGAATTTAAAAATTCCTTTTTTTCATTTTAGGCGATGTATGTGATCCTAATTCACCTGTTACTGGAAAATATTTCATGAGATGTCCATGTGAAAGTAGCCTGAAATGCGTCACAAAAGAAAACGTATGACATTTTTAGCTTAAATATTCAAAAAATTTTAAAAACTTAATATTTATTCATAACCGTTGTGTAGTTTCTATCAGTAATACCTTCAAAATAATGAATTATCATATATTTCCTTTAAAATATTTCGGATCTGGTCTTTGCCCAGCAATTTAAATACCAACTCAATGCGATTAAACTCACTTCTATGACAGGGAACTATTGACAGCACTATTTCCCAACGGTAAATTTGCCCAACAGTAAGTCAAGGTAAATGACTGTAAGAATATGCACCGATTTTCTGCAAGTGACAAAATATTTTCTCCATATGGTAACAGTTCAATCTTTCAGATAGGGCTGGGTTATTTATGGCAAAAAGTACAAACAGAACATAAAGACTGTTTACATGGGTAATAATCTTTACACCTGCTTTCTAAGAACTTGGGACATTTCATAATTATAGTTAATTTTAGGTATCATTAATAGGTTGTTTATTTTTCATAATTTTCTTAATCTTTTTAAAAATTTTGTATCTTATCCGGCCATCTTTATTTTACTTCTGCCAGTAAGTATTTTTAATAAATTCATATTACTTTAAGCATAGTTTTTCAATCAGTTAGATTTTTTGTCATTTTTCTACGTCGGTACACTATCGGGCAAATGAACCAGCCGGACAAACGAGCGTGTCAAGCTTATGTATCTCTAGGGCAAGTGAGTTAATGGCAATCGATTTGTCGGAAAGATGTTCCAGATGCATAATTATTTCGTGTAGAAGTAGTCACAAGTGTAAAAAAACATGGATGCTTATTTTTCATCCGAATTTTCTACGACTCTTAAGATTCTTAAAATGTTGAAATTTGACTTATAAAATATCCAGAATATTAGTATTATCCGGTATATTGTAATTATAAACGTATATTTGATTCTTAAAGTTTTTACACGTAATAAAAACGTTTAGAATCAACAACAAAAACGATCAAATCGATAAAGTTAATATTTGATTTTTAACGTAAACGTGTATTTACAATCTTAACGCTGAACGCAAGTCTGTCATATATTAGTATTATCAGGCATATTATGTAATTATAAACGTATATTTGATTCTTAAAATTTTCACACGTAATAAAAACGTTAAGAATCAAAAGCAATAACGATCAAATCGATAAAGTGAACATTTGATTCATAACGTAAACGTGCATTTACATTCTTAACGGTGAACGCAAGTCTGTCATTGGGGACTGATACTGAACTTTCCGTTAAGGCAGCGTCAGTTATCGGAGATAAACAGCATAAAATATAATTTTTTTTTACATTTCATATTATTTTATATAATTTTACTAAAAATTTATTTAAAGTTTACTTCTCGCTCCCGTAACAATTACGGGGTGAGGTTTCGCCCTCTATTTCTCGCTCCGGTGAAATTTCCGGGCTGGAGTGTTCAGTAGTAACGCGCCAATAAGAATAAAACTAATTCATTTCTTTTACCAGAAAAACATTGTATTTCGCATTTTACACACCAGCTGGCAGTACCAGGAAAATTTTAAGGTAATTGTAGATAATTAGTTTATTTTAAACTAGATGTCAGCACTAATCAAATACGTGTATTTGGCAAAATTGGCACTTTTATGACCGTTTTCTTGAAAATTAACCGATCGTTAAGGGGTTAATTTCCGTTTATTACAAATCAATTTTTTATTTATTTCAAGCTGTTAGCAATGTGTATCGTATTGATATACGAGCGTCTTTAAGAAGCACGCGACACTTGACGTTTTTTTTTTTTTTTTTTTTNTTCTTTTTTTTTTTTTTTTTTTTTTTTTTTTAAATACGCGTGGTACTCAACTTGTACAGCAATTATTTTCTTAGCAATTTCTAAAATTTTTTAAAGACATTTGTTTTGTTAAAATTTGTCAAAAAAAATGCTAATTGTTTTAATAAAAAATATATGTATGAGATTTTGTATAAGAATAATATCTTTTTAGGTGGTGGGTGGATCTATATGTGTTCGAGAATAATATCTTGATGGAAATTTTTGGATGGTCAGGTGGAATATTATAATTCGAGGAGAAAAACGCTTTTAATGTCTATATTTTGTTTCAGACAAGAAAAATAAATAAAACTTTGTTAAAAAAAAAGGTTTTTAGTTTACTTTTCTTACAGCTACTTTTTCTAAAGTTTCATATCATTTTTAAAGCACACCATATTGTGAATAAATAAAACAGCTTTTTTTAAAATTAAAAAAAAAAAACTATCTGCTTATTATTAACGAAGTTCATGAAAAAATAAATTTAAGGAAAAATGCTATCAAAATCGAGCTTATAGTTAAGATTTATTTCATTTTATTCTATTTAGCGTATGGAGGATAATAAATTAAACTGCTTGATTGAATGCGGGAATTTAGTTAGTAAATATAAAAAGTAAAGTTGAGTAAAATTTCAGATCGAAACTCAGTAGAAATTTGTATTCCTGAAGATTTTCATAAACAAAAAGTAAACTACACAGCAATAATGAGAATAATTTAAAATATTGAAAAATGAGAAAAAAAAAATTCTAAAATAAAAATTCGAAACACACTGAATAACTTTTGATTAATGATCAGATTTTCATAAATCGAAATTCAATCTTAATAGTTCTCGGGGGTGAGCTCAAATACGCTACTGAAATGGTAAAAACAGTAATTTACTTTACGCAATCAGACACAAAAACGTACTTTTTCTAAATAAACATACCTTTTAGTTTCGGTTTATTCCAATTCTTCAATTTTGTATGGGGGGTTGGCACAATCAGGTCGCAATATGGAAAAGCGGTTTCAACTAGTTTGTTCAGGAGAGCGTTTGAAAAATTAATGTTAATTTTACTTTCTGAGTCTTTCGCTATATCTCGAGAATTTCATTTGTTTTCGACATAGAAAGTTCTTGCTCTTAATTATGAAGTTCTTTTATCTATACTTATTATTATTTTTTTATTATTTTAATCGTAAAAACCGAAAAATAATTTTACATTTTGAGGCATACACATTTTTAAAAAATAAATTATCGAATATAATTTTCTATGGCAAAATATAATTTTGAACAAATTCGGTTGAATAATTCTTGAGAATACAAATTTTAAATATACGGCTATTATTAAATAAAATTTTAGGAACCATTGTAATTTTTTTTTTTTTTGCATGGAATAATCTTTGGATGAACGCATTTTATAATTGCGAGCAAAACGTTTTTAATTCGTTTAAGAAAACTCTTGAAATATAACGAAAAACGTAAAGAATAAAATTAAATATTAAGAGGGCCAAAAATTCAACAGCTCTCTTGACCAAACTATTGAAACCATATTTTCTAAATTGCTGCTTTCTGCTTCATTTCGAGTGACAGAAATCATTATCTCTAAATCTTTGGACCAAATTCGAGTTTCGTAACAAATTTTTTTGATGATTAACATAAAAAATTAGCAATAAAATTAACATAAAAAATATTAATCAGACAATTATGGTGTTACAGAAATGAGCATATTTCATATTATATTTTATGACCGTCGTTGAACGACCGACCCAATTTTGGGTTTACGACTACTAACGTTCAAATTCGAAACCTTGTAATTTTGAACTCAATCCAGAAAACGAGGGAACTCCTGGATCATGCATTGGGTGAAATTTTGATGGAATTGACCAGCATTTGTGTCACATAGAGAGGAAATCCACGAAAACCTTTCATGTTTAGTTACTCCCTGGGAGTTGCTGTTCTATTCCTTAGTGATAATGATAAGTATCGGTAATCTCTTCGTAGCATTTGACTGCCCTTGGTTGATCCTCCTGAACGCCAAAATTGAGGTTAGAATATGTTTCCTAAGTCTATAAACCACAGAAAGATTCACACTTAGCCATCTGGTCATCTTTATCTAACTTTGTCATACCTCTAGTCATCCGGTAGATTTCCATCGCAGTTCTTCGGACAAATGTTACCTAGAGATCATTGTAACAAATTGGCTATCTCAAATTTTTAATTTCAGAAACACAGCNTCAGAAAAATGATCTTGAATATTGTAAGCAATTAGAAGATTTGTAATTAATAAGCATTAATTAAATAATCTGACAATATTTTGAAAGTCCAAAACCGAAACTAACGGTAAGTCGAACTTCCGATACGTCGAAGTTTTTCGTCTGTCCTATCAGATTCGAGTTATCGCGAATTCACTGTAGTTCTCGGGGGTGAGCTCAAATATGCTACAGAACTAGTAAAAACAGTAATTTACTTTACGTAATCAGACTCAAAAACGTACTTCTTCTAAATAAACATACTTTTTAGTTTCGGTGGATTCCAATTCTTGACATTCTATGGGGAGTTGGCACAATCAAGTATGGTGTGGCAGAAGTCAAATTCTTGGCCATAGATGGCGCCACTGAAAAAAAACAATCGCACCCCCTCTGCCTAAAAAACAGGCATACGTCAACAACATTAAATAAAATTTTAAGTAACCATTAAGATTTATTTTTTGCATGGGATAATCTTTGGATGAACGCATTTTATAATTGAGGGCAAAAAGTTTTTAATTTGTTTAAGAAAACTCTCGAGATATAACGGAAAACGTAAAAAATAAAATTAAAATTAAGAGGGCCAAAAATTCAACAGCTCTCTTGACCAAACTATTGAAAACATATTTTATAGATTGCTGATACCTGCTTCATTTCGGAGGACCGAAATCCAAAACCATCAAAAAAAGGTATGTCAATTCAGATAAAGTACGTTTTTGTGTCTGATTTCATAACTTAAAAAATATCTTCTGCACTAATTAATTATTTGAGTTCATCACATTGAATCATTAAGATATGAGATAAAGATAATAAGTATGCCTTTGGTAAATGCGTTTTTTTCCATTCAAAATAGAATTGGATCATGAAACATGTTTTCGGAAAATGAAAAATAATCCTATATAAGCAAAATTTTGAAAATTAATCTTGGTAAAATTATGATTTTTTTTATGAAATACAAAGGTAAAACGTATACACTAATAAAACTGTACAAAATACTTACCAAATATTTATTACAAATGTAGTTTATGAAATGAAAAGTTTAGTATGATAAGCTTCGAAACAAACTCCACGTCAAATCATTATCTCTCAATCTTTGGATCAAATTCGAGTTTAACAAATTTTTTTGATGATTAACATAAAATAATTAACAATAAAATTAATTGCATATTAACATAAAAAAATATTAATCAGACAATTATGACAGAAATGAGCCCATTTCATTTTATATTTTATAACCGTCGTTGAACAGCCGACCCAACATTGGGTTTACGACTACTAATTCAAATACGCTCAAATTCGTTGCCTTGTAATTTTGAACTCAATCCAGAAGACGAGGGAACTCCTGGATCAGGCATTGGGGGAAATTTTGATGAAACTGACCAGCATTTGCGTCACATGGAGAGAAAAACCATGAAAACATCTCATGGTTAGTTGCTCCCTGGGAGTTGCGGTTCTATTCCTTCGTGATCATGATAAATATCGGTAATCTCTTCGTAGCATTTGACTGCTCTTGGTTGATTCTTCTAAATGCCAAAATAGAGGTTAGAATATGCTGCCTAAGTCTATAAACCACATAAAGACTTAGCCATCTATCCATATTTATCTAACTTCGCACATGCCTCTTAGTCATTCAGTAGATTTCCATCGCAGTTCTTCTGACAAATGTTACCACCTAGAGGCACAAATTGGCTATCTGAAATTGGTTGGTTACAAATTGGCTATCTCAAATTTTTAATTTTAGAAACACTTCGAAATTCGCAGATTAGCGATCAAAAATGCAATTTTTATACTCATTGCGGATGACGTCATTTCATTACATCGCCATTAATTTACATATCACAGTTTTACTTAGCAACTTCTATTAAATGACATATTCAAATTTCTTCGGGATTGGCTTATTTTTGGGACAGTGTTTCCTTAATTTATGATAATCAGTGTAAACTATAAGGTTAAAATTTTCAGATTGCTTCCAGTCCCTGTATTTTAAGGGTCTGAAATTCAAATATGCAATTTGAGAAACACATGCTTATTCAGAAAAGTAAGGTTTTGCATCAGATTTCGTAACTTAAGTAATAGATAGCACTGATTTATTAGCATATTTGAGTAGTCGTTTAATATGTAAAAATCCGATCACTAAAATGCAAGGATTTTTTTTAAAAAAACATTTCTCATTTAAAACAAATTGTCACTTAACAATAGTTACGAAGCGAAAAGTATTGACTAGTTGGTTGGGGACTCATTTGTTTAAATCCTAGAGAAGAAATTAAGTATTGAAATTCCCTTTCAATAGTATTGAACAAATGTTCAATTACTTTTTTTTTTCAGATCGGATTTTCATGATGCACTTGTTTAAATTGATAATAAAATATTCATGTCGACGTTCCTTCTTTTAAAATTCCAGTTGTTGTACAACACCAGTATGCAAATCAAAACGAAAATCAAATATCGATTTTCGAACGAAAATCAAATCTCGAATGTTACGAGCGACATTCCAAATCTACATTCTAAATAGGATAGCCACTATAAATTACTTTTACCTCCCAAAATAGAAAGCAAAACCAAAAAAAAACAACAACATCCGATTAAATAGCCCTCTTTCGTGGCGCATTGTCCGCCGCCATATCATTAGTGTCAGCAGCATTTATCCTCTTTAGGTATCGTATCAAAACCACCAAAAACCTTAATATAAATAAATCAAAACTAGCTCATTCCAAAGTACCTTCCACGTGGTCCTCGCCAACGACATCACCAACACTATAACCTTTTGCTTCGATTACCGTAATTTCCTTAATAGCCCTGTGCCTAGAGATAACAGTCAAGAGTATGGGGCACTTCACATTGTGACGGGGTGCAGGGGCGGCAACAAATGACGCCCTAGCCATTCCACCCTTTTCTAGTGATAGATGGGCTTACGTGGTGCACGATAAAGATCGGTTGCTCTCTGTTTCTCGTGTGGAAATTCACAGAAGCGGACGCCAAAGGAATTTCTTTCCTTTCCTCGCCAACAGATTGGGGATATTTTGCGATCAAATATTCCCAGTTGAAAAAGGATCCTTGATCGATTCGAAGAAATCGATTAGTATCGCTTAATCCTTATCTAGTTGAAATGTCTTGATTCATATGAATGTAGGCCCACGAGAAGAAAATGGTAGAAACGATATTATGTAAGGCTTATTGGTTAATATTAATTAAAGTTGTAACTATACGCTTCAATTAAAATCCACGCATCATTTATGATTGCGGTTTTATAGTCCGGTAAATTTACAGGTAACAACATAATTGGTAGTAACATAATTAAATAACAGGTAAATGGAAAGTTTATTTGGACTGGAGAGAAGTAAAAAATCGAGTTGAAAATTGATTAGAATTAAAGTATTAAAAATCAAATAATAAGAATAAGCACGTTGTAGTTCCCCTTCCCCTTAAAACAATAGAATAAACCAAAATTCTGTAGAAAGTATAATGAACAGCAAAAATTTATTTTTTTCAGAGTGATACAAAATAAAACAGTAGCTAAATCCCAGGAGGAATTTGATGAGTGTACGATCTAACATGTAATAAATCTCCCCTTAAAAAATGTTTCTAACTGAAAAATTATGCAAAAAGGGGAATATTTATTTCGGTTAAAAATCTGATTTTGAGCATTTATTTTTAATTTTAATTCAATTGGTGAGGATTAGTGAGAGCTTTGAGTTCGATAAAATTTAGAAATGCAACTTCCAGAGAAAAGCTATAAAATTCTTTCCCGTACCTACTGCGTAGACTCTAGTCCATACGTACTGAGTAGATCGTGTGGGGTTGAGAAAAAATACGAAATTAAATCACTTATATTTTTCTCTTCATAAAATTTTTAGTTCATTGTTAAAAACGTATTTATTATTGAAGAATACACAGAAAAAAAATCTGATAAAGTTGCAAAATTGTATGGTAATAGCATTTCTGGTAAAGAAAAACAACTAAAAAAAACAATAAGCAATTCTGTTTAATTAAACCGAAATATTCGGTACTTAAACCATTTACTTGGTAATTTTTCGTTCATGGGTTAACGCTTTACCGAAAATTTAGGATTTTAAAATTATAGTTCTTATTACCACACAATCAATAAAAAAAAAAAAATTTGAAATGTAAATTTAATAGAAGAAATTTTTTTTGGCTACGCTTTAAGGTTTCTTCATAAAATTACGAAATTTAATTAATATTTTCATTTGTTATAAAGCCAAATTTAAATATTCACTTCACAAAAATCATTTCAATAGCACTTTGGTAAATATTACCGAACTTTACAGTGATCCCATAGAGCCAGAAACATGGCAAAATTTACCCTGCTCTTGTAGTTTTTACCACACTTTTTTTTATCAGTGAAATGCAGCTTTTTTGTAGTAAGCGTAATTGAAAAGAAAATGCTAAGAAAAAGATTTTTAATTCCTTGCAGCATATTTTAATATTTTTTTCACATTTAAAAATTCAGATTGATTAAACTTTTACTCTTTTTTTAATTCTATAAAAAAAAAAGTGGTTGGTTTTAAATGATGAAAAAAATGAAACGCATTACTTGGAATCGCACGAACTATAAATTCGCAAGATTTTTTGTTTTTATAGTTAAAAATAAAAGAAACGAGATGAATAATTTAATCTATAAGGATGTATAAAATTTCGACAATTGCGTATTTAATTTTTTTTTAATAGGGCCGGGATAGCCTGGTCGGTAGTGCGCTGGACCCATGTCCGAGAGTTCGTGGGTTCGAACCCCGCCGCCGGTAATAAAGTGACTGATGCACGTTAAATCCGTCGAGTCGCAAAAGTCCTCCATGTTCCCATAACAAATCAACACCTCTGGGGGTACTGGATTAGAGATCGATCGTTCTCTGATTCAGGTCAAAATTACGATCTGTGGATGAATGAATGNTAATTTTTTTAAATCATAAATTAAAGTTCTTACAGTGTATTTGAATAAAAATCAAAAAAATCTGATTTAAATCAAAAAAATCCGAATTAAATCAAAAAAATCTGATTCTTTTGATTTTTTTTAAAAAAATCAAAAAAATCACGAACCCTGCTTTACAGTGATCCCATAGAGCCAGAAACATGGTAAACTTTACCCTGCTCTTGTAGTTTTTACCATACTTTTTTTATCAGTGAAATGTAGTTTCTTTGTAGTAAGCATAATTGAAAAGAAAATGCTAAGAAAAAGATTTTTAATTCCTTGCAGCATATTTTAATATTTTTTTCACTTTTAAAAATTCAGATTGATTAAAATTTTACTTTTTTCTTAATTCTATAAAAAAGTGGTTGGTTTAAATGATGACAAAAATGAAACGTATTCTTTGGAATCGCACAAACTATAAAATCACAAGATTTTTAGTTTTTATAGTCTAAAATAAAGGAAATGAAATTAATAATTTAATCGATAAGGATGTATAATATTTCTACAATTCACAAGATTATAGTTTTTATAATTTAAAATAAAGGAAACGAAATGAATAATTTAATCTATAAGGATGCATAATATTTCTACAATTCACAAGATTTTTAGTTTTTATAGTTCAAAATAACGGAAATGAAATAAATAATTTAATCTATAAGGATGTATAATATTTCTACAATTCACAAGACTTTTAATTTTTATAGTTTAAAATAAGGGAAATGAAATGAATAAGATTTTTAGTTTTTATAATTTAAAATAAAGAAAATGAAATGAATAATTTAATCTATAAGGACGTATAATATTTCTACAATTCACAAGATTTTCAGTTTTTATAATTTAAAATAAAGGAAATGAAATGAATAATTTAATCTATAAGGACGTATAATATTTCTACAATTCACAAGATTTTTAGTTTTTATAGTTTAAAATAACGGAAATGAAATGAATAATTTAATCTATAAGGATGTATAATATTTCTACAATTCACAAGATTTTTAGTTTTTATAGTTTAAAATAAAGGAAATGAATAATTTAATCTATAAGGATGTATAATATTTCTACAATTCACAAGAATTTCAGTTTTTATAGTTTAAAATAAATGAAATGAAATGAATAATTTAATCTATAAGAATGTATAATATTTCTACAATAGAGTATTTATTTTTTAATCATTATAAACAACTAGACATAATCATAATAATAGTAACAAGTTATAATTATAAATAAAATATTACGTTTAATATTTAATAATGACAGCAAAGCTATGACTAAAGATGCGAAGATATTGGACAAACATTTAATTTTAAATCGTAACTTTATGAAGGAACATTTTAGAGAATTCTTTCTCGGTAATTTTTGCATTTTATTAACCATAAAATACATTCGTTTCGGAAACAAATAATGTAAAACCGGTCATGAAATTTCATTTCAAATGTATCTAGCAAGATTAAAAATTTTACTCTCCGCTATTTTCTCGAAAAATATGAGCAGTTTTTGAAATGTTAACAAGAGTAGGGAACTTTTTGGTGTTGAAACCCATAAAAGACTGTAGAATTTGAGAAACGGAAACACATTTTTTACAAAGTAATTAACTTAAATAAAGGTTGCCGAAAGGTCTGAATTTATTCAATATCATTCACACATCATTGGAAGTCATTAAAGTAAGAAAAGTTAAACACCAGAAATGTCATCTGTCAGTTGAAGCACTTGTGTCAAACTCTGTTGTTCCTAAGTCAAGTTCCGTTACCTTAGAGGCAAATACCGTTACACTAGAGTAAAACTCTGTTATATTAGAGACAAACTCGATTATTTACTCGCCCCTAAACATTAGGGCACCAACTGCGAGGTGACAACTGAAAACTTCACCCCTTTATTTTAAATCACGCTCTGCACTTTTCAATTTAAGGAGATATATTAGAAATATAGAAATATATTAGAAACATTTTAAAAAATTTTTTTATTTGTAAAAAAAATGAGAAGAATTTTTTGTGAGATTTGGGTATTTCTGAAACACTGTATGAATGTTATTATATCTTTAAAGCAAAAATCATGTAATACGATACTAATTTCACGAAAGTATAAATTATTATCCATCATGCTTTCAGCGAAAGAGTTTCCGGTCGCTTATGTTTGATATTAATTTTATTTTTGTCCTAAGATTTAAGATAATTAAAATATTTTTTAGATTTAAATAGAAAAAGAAAAATTGCTCAAAAAATTCGAAAAATACGATAAATTAGAGAAATTTTAGAATTATACCATTATTCGTCCCTTAAATTTCTTTCATATGTAAAAAATACGAATTAATTTTTAAAACAACATAAAATATCATGAAAAATAACAAAATTTAAAAACTTAAAAAGTTCTTAGAGGAAAAGTTTTGAAAAATTAGCTAAGTTTCAGTAAATGCATTGCAGTCAAGAATTTATCTAAAGAAAGTTTTTCAAATGAAACGTACATTCTTATAAATAATAGACATATATCCTTCTCCATCTGTTACCTAGAGATAGCATAGCTTTTATTCCCACAAATTTATCACTTTAAAAAAATCAGGTGCAGTTTTTTGTGTTCTTAACCCTTTATTTCAACTGATTTATATACCAAGCATATTTTATAATATACAGGAAATAGTTTTCAGCTTTAGTAGTTTAAACATTCAGCTCACGTGCATAAACTTTCGAGATGCAAATTTTAAATGGTATTTTGATTTTCGGACTGTGTTTTGCAGTAAGTTTTCTTTTACTATTATAAATATTTTAAGATGCATTTAACCGTTTAATGATAAGATAAAGGGGAAATCAATCTGAAATGATTTGAAATTCGAAAGGTTCGTGATTTTTTCTCCATGCAGTTACAGAATTTTCAAGTAATTTCAGACTTTTTGAGAGTTTTAATAATAAAAATGTATTTAATTATTTTTTAAAAATTTTCTTTTAAAATAGTTTTATAATATGTAATGAGACTCAGGTTATGGTTAAAAGCTCATAAATATTAAAACGAAAATGAGTAAAGACTGGTATGAAAATTCTTTTTGTCATAGTTACTTGTAGGGAAAATTAAAATATCCATAACTTCAAGATCTTACTTACAGTTATTAAATATATAGGACCATTCTTTCAACGAGAAAAAATCAATAGTGATTAATAATTTAAAATTAAGAATAGAAAAAACTAATTTTTTTTCACGGTGGCCAACTACAAATGAAATGGTTTTGCGACAAGCTTTTCCTTTTTTCCGTCTTATTTTCAGCTCAGGAGCGGCACTGTGGGCCAGAAGACCGTGATCTTTGGCCAAAAGTCAAAAATTAAATTTTCAACTAAAATATGTGTAGGCAGTTTTAATATAGCCCAAATTAAGTATTCATAGTCATTCCAAACATTATAATTTAATTTTTGGACCGACGAGAGTACAATATAATGAAAAATATGTTAAAGAAGATTTTTTTATATGTAACTTGTAAATTTTTATTTCAGAAATATAAATAGGAATTTCAACTCACTGTAACATTTTTGTCAGAGTAATTAGTCTGAAATTATAGTACAATTTTTCAATTTGTTGGATTAGTTAATAGTCTTGACAAACTTATAGTTTATATCTTATCATTTGACATTTTGCAGCTATGATGCAGCTTGAATGACTTTCGAAACTTAGTTCCAAAAAGTTCCGCGAGGTAATTAGCTAAACTTTTTTTCGTTGTCTTCTTTCGAAAAAACCTGCCCCATTTTGCCTGTATTGCAAAGGTGGACTAAATGTACCGAAAAACAAAAATTATGTTTTTCTTTCAAGTTCTCGCGTTATTTTGTAATTAATTCGCGTTATTTTGTAATATTACTTCGGAAATATAATTTGCTTTTCATTTTTAATGTAAAATTATCATATTTTTATTACTATATTTTTTACTCTTGCTCGCCATATTTCAGCAACCATTTTGTTTTTTTGGGTATTTTTTGTGTATTTCAAAATTTCAACTATGAATTCAATTTACCTGCACATAAAAAATCCCAAATTTTGAAACAAATTTTATCGGAATACTAATTTTGACCTTGAAACCTTGGATGCTGGCTCACTGTGCGCGGATATGACAACTACAAGAAATAGCGCGAATATTCGTTCCATTTTCAAAGGGGCTTTGAAACAGGGTAGAAAAATCATTTTGGTATCTATGAAAGCTAGTATCTATGAAGAAAAAATATGCTTTGTTTAGTAAAAATTGCAATAATAGAATTATAATTTATATACAAATAAAATAAAATATTTCTCACAGCAGAGTAAGAAATCGATGTAGATAACATTGTAAAAGTAGGAAAATGGAGCATATGTTTCGAAGAAAACAATATTTGAAGATTATATTTTATTTTATAACCGTCGACCCAAATTTGCTCAAAAAAATAGAAGTTTGATCTAACTTAGGTACCCTAAGAAAGTTTAATGTTTAAAAAAAAGAAAAAAACAGATGAAGCATCATATAAAAATTCTCGGAACAATGAAGAATTGAGAAAAATTTGAAGAAAAACTGAAATCACCATTTTACTTTATTTTAAAACAGCCGTTGAATAGCCGATTCAATTTTGGGTTTGCGACTACTAATAATCAACTCAGTAGCCTTGTAATTTCGAACCCAATCCAGAAGACATGGGAACTCCTGGATCAAGTATTGGGAGATATTTACCTTCGTGGAGGACTTATTGACGGAACTAACCCACATTTGCGTCACATAGAGAGGAAGAACACGGAAACCTCTCACGGTTAGCCTAACGGCCAGAGGACTAACACTGAGGATATTTTTACGCCAGTACTGTGGTGAGTGCAAGCCGGATGCGAATTCGTATTAGCCAGCCATTGATGGAACTCGAACCCGGTTCACCTCATTGGAAGGCGAAAGCTCTATTTCTTGAGCCATCATGGCTCAATGTTTGAAGTTTAAGGATTGCTGCATAACTTTGTTGGTGTTTGTAATGCAACAAAAAGTCTCAATTTCGAAAGCATATGACATATATATTTCACTCAGCATAAAATTTATGAAAATTTAAAAATAACTATGATAATGCTTTTAAATAAAAAAACTTGGAAGTTGGTAAATTTTTGAAAAGTTAGTATTACTCACTATAAAGAATGCATATTTTATTTATTAACTATGTTAAGCTAAAAACACCTACAAGAATTATCAGACTAAATACAGTTGAAAAAGTTTCAAATTGCAAACGATGTATATCTCTTAAATAACTCTATCATTTTAAATGAATAACAATCAATTGTATTAAATTTTGTTATGTATGTTCCATTCGTTAAATTTTCTTCGTTTAACTAGTAGAGAAATATAAAAAAATCCTAGAATCTTGTGCAAATCTTTACAGCAGTCATCGAATTTTCTATCTTAATAATTATCTTTTCTCGAAAGTAGGAATCAAAACTAGATTGAAGAAGTTTTAAAATTAAATTTATTCTTTATTGTTCACAACAATTATTCTCTTGCATTGTATTAAATTGTGTAAATAATTACACTGGGGAAAAAAATTTTGTTGCATTTATACAAATACTTGATCTTGCCTAATTTAGGTGAGGGAATTTCAAAACTGAAATTAATTTTGCTCCTAATGCTACAGATTTTTATTACAATAATTTTTCCAGTTTATTTTTTAGTCGAAATGAATGAGGAAAAAAAAAGCATGGGATCGCATATATCTTGCAAACTTCTAGAGAAATTAAGGCACATCACCAGGATTACATAGGAACCTATTACTAAAAATTACATAGAAGCCTATGACCAGAAATGACGTCGTATGTGGCTAGGGGTGTTTCCCTATTATGACCTGTTCAGAAGGACACGATAAATAGTTCATAATCAGGAGGCACCTCTAGAGCCGTATAACGACAATTCCGGTAATAGGTTCCTATTCAATTTTAATCCTGACAATCTGTTCTAATTCTCTTAGAAGTTTATTGAACATGAGAGCAATCTGTAATATTTAACGTTTTTAAACTTAAGCGTCGAATTTTTCGACGAGAACTACACTACAAACGTCAATAAAAGAACTGTCACTTCGAGAGAGAAACAGATTGCAGATTTGAAATCAGCGAGAATAAAGTAACTAAGACCTGGTGATAAAAAAAAATCTCATGCAGCAGAAAAAAAGAAAAAAAAATGTTCCCCTGTGTCATCAATATGCTTTTTGCAATGCTTTCAAAAAAATTTTAAGATAAAATACATTTGTAACTTATAGTACGGGTATTTTAATAATTTATAGTTCGGTACTTTACGGTACTTATAGTACGGTTAATTTATAGTACGGGTACTTTAATAAAGTAACTAAGACCTGGTGATAAAAAAAATCTCTTGCAGCAGAAAAAAGAAATAAAAATGTTCCCCTGTGTCATCAATATGCTTTTTGCAATGCTTTTAAAATTTTTTGAAGATAAAATGCATTTGTAATTTATAGTACGGGTACTTTAATAATTTATAGTTCGGTACTTAACGGTACTTATAGTACGGTTAATTTATAGTACGGGTACTTCAATAAGGTAACTAAGACCTGGTGATAAAAAAAAATCTCTTGCAGCAGAAAAAATAAATAAAAATGTTCCCCTGTGTCATCAATATGCTTTTTGCAATGCTTTTAAAATTTTTTGAAGATAAAATGCATTTCTAATTTATAGTACTGGTACTTTATTTTGCTTTTATGCCATTTGAATAAAGTAAAGCATTTTTTTCAATTTAAACAATAAAGTTATAGGACTTAATATATGAATGTCTGTAAGCCGGAAATGAAAAAAAAAATATTCAAATTCTCTTTATAATTTATTTTAACTTTTATAACTTAATAACATTTGTGATTTTTTTAGTGTGTTTATTCCATGAAGTCTTGCATAAGTAACGATGCTTGTGAGGAGGGGGAGTGCTGCGTTTTTATGTCTTTCATAAGAGGTTTCTGTCATACATTAGGAGATGAAGGTAAGTATTAAAATAATGTTTGTTTAATGCAAATTTAAGTCCCGTGTAATGTACTCGAAATTTTGTTTTATAACCAGCTTCCTCAAAATCTAAGAAACGAATATCAACCGATTTTTCTTTCCTATTCTTTCTAAGGATACAGTCTCTTTAATTCGTTTTTTACATAGAAAATGAACTTTTGAAGTTTAAAGGAGAGAGTCGGGTAGCCCCGCCCACTTAAGGAGTATTGCTTATATTTCTGTATAATACTGATTAATAATCAATATTTTTGTTTGTTTCTATTGTTTTACCATCTAATTAAATAATGCAAAAAGAATAAACCAAAAAAAATATATATATAAATTTTAAAAAAACATGTTTTTCAGCACTTTTCAAAATGTGTCGGGTAGCCCCGCCCAGATACAAAAATTTTGTTTTTTGACTGTTTTTTAAGGTGTAAATGAAAATGACTAATGTATTGACAATAGATAAATCTTATTTATCATTTTTATCACAAAATTATTTCATTTATTACATATTTATATACTTTTAGTGAAATCTATCATTTTATAACAATCATTTAATAACAACAATATTTGTTGTTAAAAATGCATATAACATTCAAATTTAAAGCAATAAAAAAATAATCTTTGCAACCGTACATTTATCGACGACATAAAATTGGGCTGTGATACCCGACATTCATGTGAGCGGGGCTACCCGAAATCCAATTTTTTTGTAAATTCGTAATTACTCGAAAAATTTTTCACATATGAACTTCTTTCTTTCTGCAAATTAAACTTAAGACTACATACTTTAATGCTGTCTGCATAGAAAAAATTATTTTTTTAGTATTAAAATGAAGTTTAATCGAAACATTCAACCAATTTTTCTTAATTTCATGACTACTGTATTCAACATATTTTCAAAACTATTGTTTACCATGTTANATCAAAGGCTTATGAGCCGCCGAACGTCCAGTGTAACCTATCTTATGGGCCTCAATACGAAGAGTCTTGGTTGAAAAGGCCACACCTGTGGCTTGTCTAAACTCATTAGCGATGTTATCCATGGATGTTTGACGGTTACTTCGAATCTCCCTGCCGAGCACTCGCCGGTCCCTGCTGGTGAGAACTGTAGGTCGTCCACTTCGGGGTTTGTTCTGACAGTGTCCCTCAGTCTTGTAGCGACACAAAACATGTGAAACAGTTGATTTTGAGCAATTACGGAGACGGGATATCTCCCTAATTGACACATTGGCAAGATGTAATCCAACTAACACACTTTTCTCGAACTCAGACAACTCTTTCCGTGGCGGCATCTTGACAAAAACAAATCTAGTCGACTCCACAGAGTATTTATAGGATATGGCTGACACGTGATACCTATTATTGCGCATGTGTCAGCTGTATTGTCGACTTTTCTACTTTTCGAGGGGTGTCCCGTCACTTTCTTCCAGATAGTGTATATATATACAGTACAGAACCTCTTATCCAGGAATCGAAAAACCAGAAAACTGGGACGAAATTAGCTAAATTTTCCTGCCATTTATAAAAAAATAGAAAAAAATTTCTTAAGGTTTTAGGATTTTTCTTTATGTTTCAAATGATGTTTACTTTACCATTATTTTAGAAATAATCAACAATTCCCTACACTGTCAAGAGAAGAGTCTTGTACTAAATATCATCAATTCCCTTCCTCACACCCCACATAGTTGTTTCTTTTCAATCATAGCTCAGTGAGAAAGTGTGACTTATTGAACACCTGTTTTCTTATCATCTGGCCCTTAAGCAAGGGGAGTTATTCAATTTTTTGATCATTTTATATTAAGTCTGCATATATTTTAATTTCATTTTTTTTCTTTCCCTTTTATCTTATTAAACTTATGTGTATTATTTTATCGTTTTTTCTTCTTTTCGAAATTATTTCTAAGTAAAAATTTTTTTATTTATTTATTTATTTTTTTTTTTTAGTTTGACAATTAAAGAAAGGCGTTTTGCAGTGACTCGGAAAACTGGAAGAATCAGTTATACGGAATAGCGATAGTCCCGGATAATCGGTTCTCTACTGTATGTATATATATATATATATATGCATATACACAAGGGTCTACAAACAAGCACCAACACCATGGCATGCAAAAAATCATATCTGGCATACAATATTTCAGTGAGATTTAATACGAAAATAAAAAAATATTACACTACTTTCCCTTCCTTAACACAATAGCTCCTCAAAATTGATCTTGGCTCTTAGAAATACAGCACTTTTGTAGACTCCTGTATACTTATTTTAACAAGGATATTTTGAAGCTTGCACAAATTTATTATATGAACTTTAACTATTTAGAACAAAAGAATATGAATTAAGTACTAGTAATATCAATGAAACAAAAAAATTTTGATTAAGTATTTCCTTTTTTTTTTTAAATGAATTTTTTAATATTATTTGCCAATTTTAGCTGACATTTATTTTGCATGGTTAAAAAATTTCAATTCCAAGCTTTCCAATTGAAAAAAAAATGGTGAAGTTAATGTAAAAATAAAATGTTACAAAATTAAATTTAACAACTGCGTGTAACAAACTTTCATTAATTAACAGTAGAACTCATTTGGGTATTTCATGGTTTGGAACCTGTTAACTCAAATATTTCAAGTTTTATGTCTACTAATGAATTATAAGCCTTCAATTAAAAATAAGTCAACAAAAAAAAACTTAATACCTACTTCGCCATTAGGAGTAAAACGAGTTATTGTGCCTTCCAGTGTTTTCATTGTCAACCTCTTGAGCTAGATAAAAATTTGAAAAAAATTGGTAAAAATAGTTCAAATAATATTTAAAAAAGAATCTATAAAAAAGATAATTTTTATAGAATTTACCATATAAAACCAAAATGTTAATTAATAAAAAGTAACAATGCTTTGGAGAAGGACTTTTGTAAATCAAAATACAAATAATGAAGAAAAAAAAAACACAGAAAGAAGTGTAAGATTATTCTAACATATATTTTAAGACTTCTATAATTTTAGCAAATCTAATATGTTTATAAATTATATAAAAAAAATTTTTTTTAATTATTTTAATTAATTTATATTTAATTTTTTTTCAATTATTTTAAATATACTTTTTAAATAATTTTATTTCTATAATAATTTATACATATCTATAATAATAATTTAGATATTTCTATAATGATATATAATTTATAAATTAGTAATGTTTAAAACTTAAATAGAAGTAAAGCAACAGTAAAGACCTGAACTCCCAAAAAGAAAGAAATATTAAGAAAGATACTTCGTCCTTAGAATGAAAAACGAACAAAGACAGTTAGGTTTTGGCAGCATTACATTGTATGTTTGGTTTGTGTGATCAGTTATTTGTATTTTGATTGGTATTTTTAAAAATAAATGTTCCACTTAAAAATTTCTAGGGCAACTTTTACATAATTTGTAAAATTATTTTACCCTATAAATAATTTAAAATTCTTTTTGACTTCATAAATGATATCAGGGTGCGTAGCCAAATCTTTGAATCAAAAATAAGCACTTTTTAAAAACTTTTCAAGCACTTTACAAAAATTTTCAAGCACTCAAAAAATTCATATTCAATCAATGATATTATTGAAAAACAAAAACTTTTTATAAACAGTTTTAGCATTAAAAAAAACACATAAAGAAACGGGCGTAAATCGAAACAATCAGTACTTTCCCACATCACCGAGTGAATTCAACTTGACCCTGAACTCAGAACAAAAGTACCCTTACCCCCTACGTCAAAAAAAGTGTTTGAAGTAAAATAAAATAAACAAGAACAAAATTAAAATAAATTAAAAAGAAAAACATTTCATAAGGATCTGATATTCTCTATCCGAATTGAAGCACTCGGGTTTCGGTTTCAAGTGTGCGCGCATGCGCAATTCATAACGTGGGTACGACATGAAGTCCGCGTGAATGATTACGTAGCAAACTCCCCATTTTTCGTGAAATGCATGGGATCCACCAGATATCACTGAAAGGAAGAAAAAAATTATTCGGAAGAAAAAGCACTTTTTAAAAACGCCAGCTGAAAAAAGCACCTTTAAAAGCTTTTAAAAACGAAATCCCCAAAAAAGCACCTTTAAGTACTTTTTACAAACGCTACGCACCCTGTACATAATATTATATAATATGGCTGAAGTAAGGTGCGTGTGGAGGCCATAATAGAAGGAAAATACCAATTTGGTAAATTCCCCCACACTCTAACGAAAAATTCTTTTACATTGTCGGTATTCCACAACAAAGGGAAACTGCTCAGATACGATCAAACAAAGAAAGAAATATGGACACATTCAAAAATTAAAAACATATATCAGCAAAATAAAATATCAAGCCATCTCTTCTACAGAAACGGAGTCATTTTCTTTTAAGGCATCGATTTTATATAAAAATTTTATGAAACTTTCTAACAGTCGGACTGAGAGGCCTTTAGACATCTAAAAACCCCTTGTCCTAAAATGTTAAGAAGTTTAAATTTTCAGTGAATGCACAGCTGCTAACAGATGCTTATTAGTATGGGAAGATATCTAAAATTTGGCAAGTTATCAATAGATAATATTACTAAAACTATAGCAAACCCTGCGTTATTAGTATTAAATTTAAATAATCTGGCTACAACCTCAACACCAGAAAGGCGGTTCGAATTTAATATAATCCAGCAACTGCTACTTTTTTGTGGCCTGAGAAGCTTAGCTTAATGAAAAATGAAGCTAAAAGAAGATTTTGATATTCGATTTGTCGTAACACTGAATTAATGAGTTATACACTTGCATTGAATTAAAAAGTTGTTGTAGTTACTTATGCCAATTGCCAATACCAGCAAGTCTGCCTCAAATTTTTAAGGTAGAAGGAGCGTTTCTTGTTTATTTCAGTGGCGCCATCTATGATCAAGAATACGACTTCAGCTACACATATGTTGCAACTCGTTTTACAGGGAGGACCCAATCATACTCCATTAATTCATCACAAACTGTAAGTTTAACCTGA